AAGATACATTGCAAGGTTTATATTTACCATGAGTTTATATCGGAACATTATTGCAGATGGGTCGGAGGCATATTTGTGCCAGTGATGAGGTATGTAAGAACGTAACATGAACAAGGACTGAAGGTTTCCTGTAGTCCGATACTACTCTTGGCCTTGAGTAGGAACCGTGGGTCCCGATTCCGGAAAAGCGCCCGTTAAGGATCAATAAGCATGGCATGTACACCTCTCTCGGGTGAGAGGCACACATAAATGATAGTCATTTACTGGGTCTTGTGTAGTCAACCAACTCTCAGGAAAAACGGACAGAGCATTTGCTGTAACAAATGAACTCATCTTTAGGGTTTTTCTGTTTACGTACAAAAGATGATTTAAGTATTAGTAAAGTCCTCTCATTGAAATCAGACTTCCAACAGTCACTTAATTTTTAGTCAGTCGATTTGGGAAAGCAGGGTGAACACGATTGGTGCCCAAAGCGGAGAGGTCAAAGGAACGGAGCAGTGATTTCGGCCCCGTTTCCTACGTTCGATCGTAGTACGCTCGGCGTCAATGGGCATAGAAGATTGCGTGACGAATGTCTGAAGAAGACCAGGATACCAACGTTGAATGCACTATATTCCTTCGGAACAAACATATCAAATTAAGACTTCTAAGGACACGAGCATATATTTGCGGCTTTGTCGAACTTTGTAATCTCCTATACATGTCTCTGACCATCCACTCTTCCGACAGAGAATTCATTCTCTGATGGAACACGCATCAGTGAAGATACGGGATTAGTGCACGTTGTTTTTTATCTTATCGCTCGCGTGCTTAGGTATTTTGATAAATTAACTTTACTTGATCCAACCGATCCACCAGGAAGATGAAGAAATACTACACCCATCGACTGTGGGAGCTTAAACAAGACCATAGAGACCTTATGGTACACCATTTCCATTTACATGCACGGCGGAACAGGTAAATTTCCCATACCCGTCGCTATAAGTACTGGTAGATTACCTCTTCCCCCGGAGAAAAGGCTGGCTACTGGGTAGAACGCTAGTGTCGTTATCCCATGTAGGAAATCATGGTTGCTCTTTTTATGACTGTGTGGCCGACATATTTGTGTACTCGTACCCGTAGGGTACGTAAGGTCCCTCATGCCTAGAACCCTTGTACCCATGTTTTGGTCAATGGTCAACACTGCTCCAATGTTGCTTTCAGTAAAGATAAGATAGTTCGCGTGGCCATGGGGTTTCTGACTGACGCCTAGGTTTCTCCGGTTGTTGCGTAGACAAGCTTGTGACAAGCACTCGTGTCCAGCGTTTTTAGAACTACTGTAAATGCAATCGTTACAGACCTTTTGGACGCTCGTTTGCCTTTCTTCTCATTGACCCGATATGATGGAGATGGGGTTTTGTCATCTTGTATGCCATGCATCGTAGAAAAACGTCCCTCGGGTAGAGGTCCAATAATTATCGCCTGACTGTTATCCTGGACCGAATTCATCTCAGGGAAAACGAATGGAATGGAAGACTCTTTGATGTTGGAAGACTTTTCTAGATGATTCAGCGGTGAATATGGGACCTAATGGGAGCAAAAATGACAGTATCATGATTAAAGAGGCCGCTAATCGGAAGAAATCAAGAGAAAATGTTCTTGATAAAGCAGAACGGGTTAGAAATTCCACAGGCGATGTCATTTCACTCTTTATTGGCGATTATCGCTGGAGGGTGCTGAAATGTAGCTGAATGTCGCAGGACAAATCGGGGGATAACCCATCGATCCCTTGACCAAACGTTAAAAAATGCCCTCTCCGAATAAGATGGGCAAAGCGAACCTGACTGTGAGAGGCTTGCTATGAAGCGCACCCAGGAGGGGGGCGTAAGGGTTTGCGGTGATGCGGTTTTGGGTTATTTTTGGTGCGGTTTTGCGGTAATTTTTATTTCAACTCGCGGTATTGCGGTTTGCGGTTATTACAACCTTTAAGTAGCGGTTTTCGGTGAAAAAAAAGTGTCTGCGGTGATAACACTCTTTAGAACGGTCAGCATCCGGTTGTTTTGAAAGCGCGAGCCAAGTGTTTTGTTTCACAACGAATCAGGGTTCATCATATCAGCTTACAATTTAACTCTGTGGTTTGCAATTGCGGCCTTTTCCAGTTAATACTTAATGTGATTAACCGTCTTGGCCAAAGATGTGTAGACTTGGTCAGTAGACGGTCAGTGAAATTCAATGCCGGATGTTAGCTCGCACTAGCCTGCGTAGCAAGCGTTTCCAATCGAGTTATTACGCGAAGGTTAGAGCGGAAGCAAAAAAAAGGTTGAAGGGGGAGGGGAGAAGAGGAAACGGTTGCCCGCAAACCCCACGATTCTGGAAAACGCCCCTTGATATTTCACGGTTCGGTTCATCTGTAAATTGACAGCTCGTCAAAAAAAAAAAACATAACGAACAGATTTTCCCTGGATTACCAGACTTGTAAAATTACTTTGGTCTTTAATAGAACACGTTGCAGGCGATTGCAAGAGCTGTAATAAAAAAGATTTACGATAAAAGAAAGTTAAAACTATGAGCGATTGCTGCGGAATTTCTTGTTTTTTTCTTGTGTGGCCTTATCTCGTCTGAACCTTGTCGACACGTCAAAAATTATTTGTCCGGAACAATTCACTCCGCCGCGTATAAGTTTTGCAGAGCGGTTTCTTCTTGTGTCGAAACGTTCTCTACAATAGATGCCACTAAATTTCCAATAAGCAAAAAGAATTTTTCATTTCAAAAAGCTGACAAATCGCTTGTCCATGGCGGCTTTACAACTCCGGCTTTAGCTAGTGTCGAGAACCGATGTTTTGATTTATGTTGATGTTATCTCCAAACAAACAGTCCATTTTTTCCAGTCAGATCCGCACGCCGTCATTCTCAATAAATTGGCCTTCCCTAGTCTCCACTGCTCGATCTCCAATTATACTTTGAAGACTCTGATCTCATAAACCTTCGCACAAACAAGATTCCAATAAATATCAGTCTAAAGCATTAGTAATCTGCAACCACATATCAGATGAGACCAGATCTGTGACGCACGAAAACAAAGCATACCTGGTTTGATTGATGTTTTGAATGCTAAGTAATCAACACTACCCGCACCGCGCCAATCAGAAGCTGCGTTCGTGGGCGAACGCAGTTTTTCAAAATCGTGGGGTTTGCGGGCAAGCGGTTCCTTCGTTCCCCTCCCCCTCCCCGTCATTCATTTTTTTTGCTCTTGTCCCAGCTTTCTAGACGAACCACGCGAGGAAACGCTTGCTACGCAGGCTAGCTCGCACAGCCGTACAGTCTCGTGTTCTCGTTGCTTTGATTCAATGCGCGACAATGGCAACTGAGATCGTCGAGGTCGCAACTGAAAGTGAAGAAGACGTAATAATTAATTGCGTGGCAATCTTCTATGAACAAGGAAAGGAAGGAGAGAATTTCATAAGAGCTGTACGTTTTAACAATCGTCTTCTCCACTGAACGTGAACTCTTTACGAGACAAAAAGGTCCCAATTCCAGAAGAAACATTTATTCCGCGTTCCACAACTAGCACAGGGTCGTCCAAAGTAATCAGTCACCCAATGTAAGACGTACAGGATCAGTGACAGAGTTTTTCAAAGTAAAGATCCGATGGATCTTGTTTACTGTGGGAAATGTCGACCGAGACGTCGGTCGATATAGCGGTCGACACTCCGTCGATAGTCGGTCGACACTCGGTCGAGAGTCGGTCGACACTCGGTCGACAGTCGGTCGATAATCGGTCGACACTCGCTCGATATAGCGGTCGATAGTCGGTCGATAGTGGGTCGACACTCGGTTTAGACACGGTCGATAGTCGTTCCAGATGTGTCTCAGCCGATATAGCTTTTCGTTAGTAGTAAATAGAGTATAATAGTGTAGTACAATATATCGTTATCGTCATGATGGTATGTTTAATACTAACGCACAATGTTATCAGAATATATCACAAGTCTTGCTGACGTCAGATTTCATATTGTGGCCTACTTGTACTTGCGGTTTCGGTATTCGGGTAAAAATCGGATGCGGTTTGCGGTTTTTTGGCGTATTTCTGTGCGGTTTTGCGATTTTCAGACCCCCCTTACGCCCCCCTCACCCAGAGATCTTGTGGGATAAAGTGGTTGGTGTTACGAATAGCACATGATAGATGTCCATCACCTAAGGCCCGGTTCAGACGCCGAACTTTTCATGGGCCGAACCCAATACATTGAATTAAGTACATGAAAAGTTCGGCGTCTGAATCAATTCGGAACGCCCGTTTCAATTTGGAACGGCTCGTTTCTTTTTTGATCCAGTCGCCGAACGGTTTTTGGGGCGAACCTAATACATAAATTATTATAACATACTTTGGAAGCAGTTTGACCGAAACGAGCATTTTTCGCCTTTTGAACTAAATTCAGCTGAAATTAAGATCGGTGTCTGAATCAACTCAGCCGGTCTAAATAATTTGGGTCGGCATTAACTCGAATTAGGTTCTGCTCATGAAAATTAAGGCGTCTGAACCGGGCTTAACAAACAGACCTTTTTAGCTTGCATATTTATGATTTCCTGAATTCGCCTTTTGCACATCTCCAACCTGTTTGGTGTGTTTGCCACCCAGAATTGTGCCTAGCTTTTGTTTTAGTCTGCCCTACGTGTCGTCACGCAATGCTCCTCTCCAGGAGGTTTTGTTGGAAGCTGCGTTGCGTGACGACACTAAAAACAGCTGTGGTCCCAAGAGAAATCCAAGACAATGCTTATGCAAAATGTTGGGAAGCAAAAGAGGGGGTATTATTATTAGAGATGAGCAAATGACGAATGATTTCAGACCACGTGATGTTATCCCAGAGGCCTGTTTCTTTCAAATGTCGACCTCTCCATGTGCGTATGTATGCGTACTTGATGTCAAGACAAAAGGCAAATTCCCTTGGGATCATCTCGTCACTCTTCTATTTTTATCCAAAAAGGAAGAGTAAAGCATGCTGGGAAATGTGCTTACGAAATAAATGCGCGAAAACAATGCGCAGGGATTATCAAATTTCCCGCCAAAATGTTCATCCTTTGTTCTCCAGCAGGGCAACATGGCGATCATTGCAGGCGAGGTGAGATCTTCTTTATTTTCCCCCTTTTATCGTTTGCTGGTAGCTTATATGAATGGCTTTTAATCATTTGATGTTCACGCTCAAAGTCTGTATTGTAATCGCAGAGCACTTTAGAATGGGAGATATTATTGATCAAGTCGTTTTGAGCTCCACATGCTTGAATCGCCAACGCACAGTCGCCGTGTAAATTGACGCTTCAAAAATCCCTTGAATGAAAGTTTGAGCTCTCTGTGTTTATTTTCGATTTTTAATGCGAAATTCATAGCGAAGATGGCAGACGAAATGTACAGCAGGTGACCGTTCTAAAACAGTAAATTTCATCGCGGTTGCTGATTTCAACACGAAGCTGGTTTTGCGCCATCTTGCTTGCCTTCTCGTTTTACAGTACACGCTTTGGCCGGTGGCCGAAGGCTTTTTAAAATTTTCAGGTCGTGTGACTGAAAAAAAAAGTGAAAGCTTCATCATAATTCCTTTACGATTTGTACGTAGTTTACTATATTTTATATCATGGATGTAACAACAAGCAGTGAGTGTGATAGAAAACAGTGTGAATTGGAAACTTGTTCATCAATGTATGCGACCTTTAATCTTACCCTTGAAGGGTTGCTTGTACTAGGAGAGGCTGCTCTCTGGGAACTAAATGACCAGGTCTAGGACGCATTTTTTTGACAGAAGATTGTTCTGAACTATTTCTGACAATTAATTAGTCTTTTAGTTTGTCCAATGAGTTTTGTTACAATACCGTAAAATTCCGAAAATAAGCCCCAGGGCTTATATTTTTCAAAGGCCCTTTTTGACGGGCTTATTTTTGGAGGGGCTTATATTCGGAGGGGCTTATCTACGGAGGCAAATTTGCATTTCGAAATCGATTGGGCTAGTCGTATAGTTAGAAGTAAATTTACCGTTTTTGCTTTGTTTTGCTTTGTATTTGAGGGCAATTTTCCAAGTACAAGGCCCTGAGGGGCTTATATTTGGAGGGGTGATTTAACAGAGGGTTTTTGCGTTACTGGATTGGGGGGCTTATATTTGGAGGGGCTTATATATGGAGGGGCTTATTTTCGGAATTTTACGGCATGTTTTTATTGGCTATTGTAGAATTGTACAGTCAAACCATGTTAATACGGACACTGAGGAGCGCCATAGAATGTGTCCATCTTAACTGGGTGTCCATATTAAGCAGATTGAATGTAGAGAAAATATAAGGGCTAGGGACAAGGAAAACTGTCCATATAAGGAGGTGTCGTCCATATTAAGCGGGTGTCTGTAAACCGGGGTTTGACTGTAAATTATTGTCAGAGACAAAAGCAGATGTATCTTTGGAAAGCATATATATTTTTTCTTTTTAATTTTGCAAACACACAAACAATTAATAAGTAGTTTCTTAGAAATCGATTTTGCGATAAATATTAGCGATAAAAAATCACGACGTTTCGACCTCTCCGAGGTCATTTTCAAGTGTATAAAAGTTCTCTAAATTAGCATAGATAAGTTAAAAGCAAGTTATAATAGATAAAAATGTGGTGAACGCTAAAATGTGATAAAATATGTAAAAATGTAAAAAGTGCTAAAAAAATATTTATAAAGTCAAAAAACAATGGAAATAAAACAATGTTAACAAGAACTACTCTAAACAAATAATTTGGCGCGAATTGAATCGCACTGTTTGTTAACTTTTATACACTTGAAAATGACCTCGGAGAGGTCGAAACGTCGTGATTTTTTATCGCTAATATTTATCGCAAAAACACAAACAATTACAATACATTACATTTACAATTCATTACAGGTAACTGTAATGGAAAGCATATTTTAGTCAGAATTATTACATGATATAAAGTTATTTATTTCCTTTGCATAAAACAATGTTTAGTATTAAATGAAAAAAAAAAGTATTTTAAAAGTGAAAATATGCTGAATAATTTTAAATTTAAATCTTATAGTACTTGTTAGTAAAACATGATTTGTTTAGTCATGGAAAACCCTGGACAGTCTGGAATTTGTTATTTTTAAGTGCAGGTTAGGGAAAGTTATGAAAATTAGTAATGCTCCTGGTAGAAAACCATTGATGAAGCATGCTGTTTTTGCCTCAGAGGTGAAAAAAGGTCTAAAATAGTTTTGAAAAGAAATGCTTCGAAAGGTTGTGGAAAGGTTTGAAATTTTAACCCTTTCATTTGTAAAAGTGGCTGAAATGAAAATTCTCCCTAAACTCCAAATTTCATTTTTGTAAAATCTTTGAAAACAAATAGGCATAATACCATGCAAAAATCCTGTGAAATGGTTGTGTATGAATGTTAATAACATAGGATTGTGCCAACCAACTGGACGGTCAGAATGACAAACCCTTTCACAGTAGCTTGGTTTTATTAAAAGTGTATAAACCCAGTTAAAAGGGTCTTCTAAGTTGGAACAATTTAAAGCAAGGCGCATCAAGGCTGTGCTCTAAGGAAAATTTCAGGGAGCCCTTCGGGCTCCCAAGCATTTAAGTCCCCCAGACCTCAAAGTTGGTCGCCTGAATAAAAATTTCGCGGAGCCCTTCGGGCTCCCAAGCATTCCAGCTGGGGTGCCCAGGCCTCTCAAGTTGGTTGCCCGAGTACATCTGATGAGGAAGTATTTTGAACGCACGCAAATCTTACTCATCTGCTGATCACCAAACTCGGTAATTTTAGCTTTTGGGTTCGACAAAAACCCGCTTGTTGTCTTATGAAAGCCATCAAAGTTTTCGTACCATTCAGATTTAAAACCAGAAACGTGAGCAATGCCGCCGAATTGTTAAGGTTTTAAAGAGAGAAAAGTAAAAAATTTCAGCAGGTTTACGTAAACTTCATTAAGATCTTTGGGTCAAACATAGGAAAACTGTGCTTTTTACCAGTAATACTAAACTTGAAAATAAATTTTCAAAAGGTCAATCAATGCGGCATGAAATATAATGTGACGGAGTTTTATATGCAGTTGATCGAACTCAAGTTCCTGTGAAAAATACTGTGAAACAGTGAAACCGCCACTGCCCCAAACCTATTGTTTTAATAAAAAATAAGTCATATTTAATTTTCTTTTCTATATTATCAGTGAATCTTTTAGGATAATTGAGCTTTTCATGGATACGGTCGAAGCGTAAACCAGCTCTTCTTTCCGTGTTTTTATTTCATTTTTTTGGCCGCTAAATTTATCCTGCATGCGAATTTAGTTTTCGATACGTAAAATGCCAAGACAACGTGGAACTGCCCTGTTTCTAAAACAACAATAAAAACGATCAGAACGATCACATCTTTTCTTTTTATATTTCGTTATCTTATCTAAAGGGAAGAAAACAATCATAAGTTATGTTTTAGCCGAGCAGACACAGCAGCCAAAAACCGTAAAAACATATTTGCATACTGGTCAATACAGCAACTTCCGTTTTATACAAAAATAAATTACTCCGCGTCGCCTGCCGCGCTTTACGTCTGTCAGAAAAGTATTGACAGTTTCTCCTAAAAACTGTACCTAATGAACCATTCTATCTGAAAGAAAAAATTTTAAAACTTTTCTACGCAGCAGTACAAATGGAAATCCTCGCCGCTTGTCACGTTTAAAGTGATGAATTATGTTACGTGTGAAATCATGCAGAACGACCTTTGAACATCGACGTGCGCCCGTTTCTTTCGTACAACATTCGTAAAAACATTTTCTGTAGGGTTTAGCCATAGTTAGTAGCTAACTATGGTTTAGCTAAACTCTGACTCAACAAGCCAACACCAGTATGTTAAATTTTTCTTCCTGCTTAACTGAACACTGCATCAGAAGCAAGAGTGCCCGGCCGGGCGACCGGGAACTTTTTTTCAGTCGCCCAAAGCTAAATGTTAGTCGCCTCAGGCGACCAGGCGCCGTTAGAGCACAGCCTTGTGCATGGTAGCTGTGATTTTCAATCACCTGAAAAGTCTAGACAGTGATTAAACTCAGATTTTTTTATATAAATCTTGGGTGGCTTTGTCCCGAGGCAGACTCTAATATGAGAAAGATGGAATGCTTGTTGGAAAATTCGAAAAAAAAAACTGTAAAGGAGACCAATCTGGGTATGACTCAGGCTTTATTTGACCCCTAATGGAGACCTTAGCCCAACACAGGATGATATGGCATTTGTTATTTAGGAATTACCCATGGCAATACCCTTATGGGTAAAATATTGGCTTTCCATCCGGATCACCGTAAATGGGACAAAAATCTGCAATAATTATTTCTCGCTCTTGGAGACAAGACAGGACGAGCATCCACATCATTTGCCTGTGGGAGTCCTTTCCCATTTTAATCTTTACATTATATTTAAATTATTTTTTTTGGAGAAGTAACCCTTTGGGCTATTGGGCTTAAATATTTTGCCAACCAAATTATAAAGTTTATTATCCAAGAATCTGATCTTGAAATAACAATATTTTGACCATTGAAAGTAGTGCTAATAAATGGGGCAAACTAATGGATGGATGGATTGGTTCAAAATGAAATATATGGAAGATTTAATGCTCATTTACAGTTTCCTTTCAATTACATTACACGAGGGTGGGAAATTCACCATAAATTCTGCAAAACGTTGTTTGTTTAGACTCACCAAACTGCAACCAGGTGAATGCCTTTTTTGATATTTAGTGGAAAGTTCTTTCTTTCTTCATACACCCTCTTTCCGAGAGCCTTCTGCAGTGTTTGAAACTGTACTTCTTCTTTGTTGTTTTTCTTGATCTTCCAATTCCTCTTCACAAAAAGTTTAAGCGGTGACCTTTTCCTGAAAAAAACTATCCAAGCATCTCTGTATCTGATCTGTGTAATAAACAGGTTGCATGGATGAGCCACTTGCAAATGATATATTAAGGCTGTGTACAGATCTCCCCATCCAACAAAAGTCTGGTTACCTTGAGTTCTTGGAAATGCACATTTTGCGTGTTGTTGGATGATGCTGTAAGGATATCTTTTAGAACAATAAATTGAATGAAATAGAACACAATTTTATTCAAAAAGGAAATGTGCAAGATTTTCAATGACAGAAATTTTTACCGTGTCAGGGTTAGTTGGCTAATTTTAAGTAACTGAATGTTAGCAACAACTAACCATTGTTAACAGGTTACTGTTAATTTCAAGTCCTGAATTGTTTCCTTCACAATTCATACCTCTTTTAAAACCTTGTTTGGCTAAATTTCACTTCAGCTCTCCATGCACTGTAGTCCAGCAAGACTGCTAAGTGAACCAGATGTTATCCTGCCAGTTAAGTACCTGTTTGAAAGTGACCCTGAGCTATCCAAACAAGAGGTGAGTCTGACTCCTATTCTCCCATGAGTACCATTGCCTTTTGCAGATGTTGAGAGTGGAGTGCAGGTGAAAAATAGAGCGAGCGAAACTGAGGGGAGATTTGGGAGAGTGATGAAGGCATGACTGTAGAACTTATTCAGAAGAGAAGCTGTAATGCCGTTTTCTCCAATCTGTCCTTGCTTCCTTTTTTGCTCATTTTTTTGTCACCAGTGATCCACTATCTGAATGCCTGGAATGGCTGTGAGTACCCAAAATACTGATGGAAATTGGTAAAAGGCTGTTAATTTAAGCTTCTTTCATCTGAGAAATGCAAGAAATGGCACAAGAAGTCTTGCAAACTTAAACTATGAGTATATTCGCCATTTTCCACATCTGCCATAAAACACCTTGTATGTCCCACCCAAAAATGTTTTTTATAACATATGTTTTTAAATTCTTCTGATTATCATTCTTCCCAAGAGAAATTGAAGGCAAAGGTTACTTAAAATTTGGGATGCCAAACAATGTGTATTATGGAAAGATAGGCAAATGGTGAATGCAAGAACTTATGAAAAGACTATCAACAAAATAACAGTCAGTCATTGACACCTTTGATACCACTTGAGAACTAAACCTGTGCAAGGAAACCTGAACCATTCTATGTTTTCAAAGATCAGCTTTCCTTCTCCACAGTAAATGAGCTAATATTGACTACTCAGCCCGCCAATTTCAAGGAAAACACCCTAAGGAATATTCTGTTCATTTCCATTGCTATCCAATCCTGCTAACTACCCTAGAAAAACTCCATGCCATCTGCATTGTTATCCAACCCTGCTCAACACCCCAAGCAAAATTCCATTCCAGCTGCATTCTTTATCCAATCCTGCGTGACAACCCAAGAAAAATCCATTCCACTGGCATTGTTATCCAGTCCTGGCAACATCCCAAGGACAATTCCATTCTACCTGCATTCTTTGTCCAATTCTGTGTGACACTCCATGAAAAATTCCATTCCAACTGCCTTGTTATTTAATCCTGCTCTACTTTCTAAGGAAAATATTCCATTCCACTTGCCTTGTAATCTAGTTCTGCTCTACATGTACACTCCAAGGAAGATTTCATTCCTCTTGGATTGATATCTTATCCGCTCTCCATTCCACCTGCATTGTTATCCACTCCTGCAGCAAGGCTTCATTTCTTCTGTTATCCAGTGGTGCTCTGCATTGGTTTCTCTGCAAAAGGCCAATGAACGGCTAGTTACAGATTCACTGTGATGTATTTCAGAGGTGGAATACATCTCATTGGCTCAGGGTTTTCCTTAGCCCATCAGACAGCACTTCCTCAAAAGATTGTCATCTGGTATACTGCATTAAATATTCCAGTGGTCCATGTCAGTTATCTTGGAAGGTGTTGATGAGTACAAGATCATTATCTATGAACAACTGCAACATGATTTTTGCATTCAGGTTATTTTGTTTCAACTCCCGTGTGCTCACATTGGACATTTAGTGGTGTGCAATTCAAGGTGCTGTGAGTCGAATTTCTGATATTGAGTGGGTGCATGCTGATCCAGAAAAGACAACAGCCTTTGACCCAATTTGAATTTTTCTGCAAAAATATTATAGCGTTGTTTCCAGGGGTTGGAAAGTATGGTAACCAGTTGAATGAATTTGTCTAACTATGTCACAAGGAAACTATGTGCTCACTGGAAAGACGTGCAGCAAATGGCCAATCAGTAGGTCAAATAGATTCCACCTCAGAGTGATGTGTGTGACCCTACTGCTGCACTCTCATTTACCCGTTACATCAAAATGCATTGAAATATAGACTTTTTCAGGATCTATAAACTCTGAAATTATATATTATTAGACTGAGAGAAACTACAAACAGCAAAAAATATATATTATTTGAAACAAAAAAGTTGACTCTAGGGATCCTTGTCATATCTGCAGGATATCAAAGTACCCTATAAGGACAGTCTGCAAATGAACGTTGATGAAGGTGAATTCATTGACATTGTCATATGTGAGGTGAGGGCACTTGTTTGTACAATTACTCTCAATTGTCATTAACTTAGTATTGTAAAAGTAATGTGCTCTGGAAGTTTGACTTAGAGCTTTGTGTCTCAACAGTGACACAAGTCATACTACATTTTGTGTACTGCAGTATTTTATAGCTTGTTCTGCGGCAGTTTTGCCAGAAATACCTTGGACGCCGCCCTCTGTTGACTACGTTTTGATTTATTGACACTCTAATAATGAGGAAAATGGGAGCCTCAAATACTAGCAATCTCTTGGTATGCATGAAAGATTGGGCAACATGGACAACCAGGTGTTTAACTCAGCCGAGACCACCGTGGTGATGATGATAATCATGCTGCTGCTGATGATGATGTATTTACTTTAATGAGTTCAATAATCTTTTGGCTTTCCAACTCTTAATCAGGGGATGTGAAATATTTTATTTACAAGAAAACTCTTCCTTCGTGAGCTGTGAAAAAGGAAAGCAAAGCAGTTTTCATTTTTGCCCTGACCCTTTGAAACAGTGACTGCATCTTTGAAAGTGTTTTTGTCCCATAATAGGGAAGTGCTTTCAGAAAGGCAGCAGGTATGCTTTTTACATGTATATTAATTTTATTTTGGTGACTTTGGAACCTTTAGGATAAAACAAGTGATCATTCAGATGATACTATTGACGGGGGTTACATTACAGGAAAGAGTTCACCAGATCCTGAGTTTTGTCAGGTAACATGCCACTTATAAAATTTTGTGTATCATACATTCAACAGAATATATAGTTATTGTTTTCCTTAATCCATTGTAAGGCCTGGAATGAGTCGGAAAGACTACTTTTTTTATCTTTGAAACGATTAGGAAATTCAAGATGGTTGTACAAAGTTCAATGATGACCATGAATTTTGCATCACTGAAAAGAGTGCACCTTGTCTTGATTCTTGCAAGGTAAGATGGTATTTTTAAATTTTGTATAAATTAGAGGGTGTTTGATTGCTTTAAATAAAATTGAGTGAGCTTCAAATGTAAGGCATTGCTGGCTGGTTCTAACACTTCAACACATTTGCCCTAGAGAAGGAAAATTTGAGGCAGGGTGCAAAGCAAGTCAGTTTTACAGCTTGAGGCAACATGTACTAGCTACCCCAAGAGTCATTTTAACTAGCCCCAATTTTTTTTTGTTTTGGATGAGCAGGCTTGATTAAAGTTCTTCTGTAAGTTGAATTCCCTATAATAACTTCACTTGTCTCTCTGGCAAGTTAAGAACAGAATTCACTAGCCCCATAGCAAAATCCATTAGCCCTGGTCTATTGGACACAACTTTCCTTGCACGCTGTTGAGGTTGGCTTGTTCAAAGGGTAAGTACATGTGAAAATTTTGTTTCAAGCCCTAGAGATCCATCCAGTGCATATAAAGTCATCAGTTTGATTCCCATCAGGGATTTTGAATTTTCTGATATTCCCTTTTTTCTTTTTCTTCTATGGGCTTTAAATTTTCTATAAGACTTAATTCTGTTACATCCAAAAAAATCATTTCCTTGATTTTTCTCATGCACTCATTTCACAAATGATGCCACCACCTAAACTGAACAGTTTTGTGAATTTTCTTCATTGTGCAAGTACATTTGTCCTTGAAAATACTGTACCTGACTATTGAATATTCTTAATTCACTTCTAGGAAAGGGATGGACCAATAAGGGATTGTTCTCCCAACGTTATAGTAACTACTCCAAATTCCTCTGAGGTAATGAACTGTCATGGAATATAATCAATTGCCTTAGTTTCTTCTGTAAAGAATTTTTGGAGACCATTTATAATAGGGAAATGGAGACTCTGGTAATTTCTTATCACACTTTTCTATGCTTCAAACGCAATTCATTTTCCTTAGATTTCTACCAAAACAGGTATTAGTATCGTTTGGTCCCTTTTTAGTTTTCTTGGAAAAACAGAATTTTTGCTTGAGACAATTCAGAATGGTTTATGATGTGGAAAATCTGCTAAACAATAGTGTCTTTCTACCAGACTTTGGCTTGATGTGTGCTTTTGATCTTGAGTAAACCAGAGCCCAGTATAGCTGTAGATGTGTATGACGAGGAGAGTTCTTTTGAGTGATTAGACCCGAAAACTAACACTTTCCTTCTCTTTTTAAAGGACATTGTAGAGACTCCATTGCCACCTAAAGTTGTAAGTGGCTCACTCAAACGAAAGTCAGAAATGAAGGAACTCAAAATTCCTTTGAAGGTAAGGTAATAATTTTGTTAGAGTAATTTCAGCTTGTGGATCATATGGAAAACTAATCTTTTCTCCAAGAGGATTTGTTTACATAATTAGTAACGAATTTAACTCCATTTCACTTTTGAATCTGGATATCACAAAGTTGTTGTCTCATAAAGGACCTTGATGCTGCAGACCCCTGTCTCTTTCAGATTTTGATACTATGCTGGAACCAGTAGGGTGTAGAATCACATTCTTGGCCAAGGGGGTCCTATCTTCACCCATAACAAAGTTAAAGAAATTTCAATCAAGGAGGATACAACCACTTATTATCACTTGCCCATGACTTTGCAAGGACACTAAACAGACCAGTTGCCCACTTCTGCCTCTTCTCAAGCATGACCCAAATCTACATCACCAACATTGCGACTAATGCTTCAGCATTTGTGAAAACTAAGTCTTAAAAACCAGCTTCATAGGAGCTGGGGATTTGCAAGCAAATCTTATGCTAGACAATCCTTTGGTCATGAGATTGTGACCGAAAACTGAAGAAAAACAGTGTTTCACTTCTTTTTGCCAACCTTGTGAGAGCAGATTTTATTACTTGGAAACGTTTCAGTGTTGATTCTTTCCTTCTGGTTTTCTTTCATGTTAGCCAGTTTTTGTTCTTTTTTCTCATGTCTCCCTGGGTTCCTGACTTCCTGCCTTAATGATAATTCTAAGCATTAATTCAATAACATCGTTGTTCCCCTTCTAAATTCATGCAAGATCATTAGCAACCTTTTGTTCTTTTGCATTCTGTTTATTCCCAGAAACTGAGAGTCACTACAAATTGTGTTAATAAGAAACTGGAACTTGAAGAAGATGAGTACATCTGTAAGTTATGAACAGTCATTGTTTCTTTTGATAGTGAAACACAAATTTGTTGGCAATATTATGAAATGCAACTTTGTTGATGGGCTTATCACTTTCTCTCATAAAGGAGGCTGACACTAATACCATTCCAAATCGAAATTACTGGTTTGAAAGTCTAACAAACACACTGACAACAGGTTCCCTCCATAACTGGGCACAAAGCTCAGTCAAGTGTGATTACAAAAAGGAATATAACTCTTTGATTTAAAATACCACCAGATGCCCATTTAATTTAGGTGAACATTTTGGCCCTCTGTTATCTGTTATTGGAGGTCAGTAATCAACAACGTACCACCCACTGGCACTAAGTTAAAAAAAAACTTCCAGAGTGGTCAGTGTTTTTCAGGTCACTTGGAGAATTACCTATGGCACTTGCTCTGGACATGTTTGTACGTATTCAAAGCAAGTCATTTACTGAAATAGAGAAGGTAGTAAGTTAAACGCTGATAATTGCAAGTAAAACTCCGACGTTTCGGCCATGCTGCCATATGGGAGTTCGTTATGGCGTAAAATTTGAAAATGCGCGCGTAAAAACAAGCGAGTGTGCGCGCACGCAAGTCACGTGAAAGAGAAATCTTGATTGAGTCCACCCGGCGCGAGGGTGCCAAAATTATGAATAGAGTGTTTTCACATGACGTCACGGCGGCCATATTGGTGTCCCAAAACAATAAAACGGCGGCCATGTTGGTGTCCCTAACCAATCCTCTGGGAGTTGAACTCTTTTCTTATGCAAACGTTTTCTTTTGTTCCAATAAATTTCCATAAATGCTGGCCACGTGAGTGAAAACACTCTATAAAGCGCATCTCCTTGCGTCTTCTTTTGTCTTGTTCGGGTAGACCAGCTCTAATCACGGCTACTTGCATGTCCTCCAGCTGGTGGTCCATTCCCACAAAATGGGCAGGCACCGGCAGGGCCACTTTCTTCTTAATGACGTCCAAACGGTGCTCCCGAAAACGGTCGCCAATTCCACAGCCTGTCTCTCCTATGTAAACGATCCCAGGGCATTTGCGGCACGAAATACAATAGATCAGCTGGCTGGAGATGCACGTAAAAAACCCTGAGATTTTGATCTGCCCTTGTGTAGTGGTAATTCGGTCAGAGGAGTTAATGAAGGGACAGGTCCCGCAGTCACGTCTATTACCAGGAAAAGTGCCTATCTGACGTTGGAGAACCTGCGGTAAGGAACTATGAACGAGAAGATCTTTCAGGTTTTTAGAGCGACGGAAGGCTTTAAGCGGCGGTTTGTCAAATGTGACCTTGGTGCTGTCGTCATCCCGTAGAATTTCGCAGTAGGATATTACAGACGGCGATGTTCTTGGGATGGTATGTAATGACCAGTGGGGGTCGGTCGGCCGCCGTGGCTGGTGACTAGTAGGTCAGCCCTCTGTCTTTCTTCCTCTCGGAGACGTGCTCTTGTAATTAGGTCATGGGGGTTGCCACGTGCAGCAAAAAAGTCCTCCATGGTTGTGGCCTCACTTTGAAAAACGTCGTCCTAACAGCAGATCTTTCACAGCCGGAGAAACTGACTATGTGGTATGGACGATTCAGTTACACTTGAACGGATGCGACGACCCGAAGTTCAGATATGAGTGGCTGTCAGTGTCTTTGTAATAAATAGATGTCGATATGCGGTCGTCACGGGGTGTCATATAAATGTCGTGGAACGGGAGTTTGTCAGATGAGATGGACCACTTGTGGACAAGCTTGGGATGGTACTTCGAAGCAAAATCAAGAAACTGCTGTAGGTCTTGTTCACTGCCCGAGGCTGCGCCCGCTACGTCGTCCATGTATCTCTTATACAAATCAGGCTTCCTACCAGTGTATTCGGCTAGCATCCTCTCTTCGACATAGCCAACGAAGACACATGCGTAGTTTGGCCCTAATCTGCTACCCATGGCCACGCTGCCTACTTGCTTGTAATATTCGTCTTTGAACTCAAATGTGTTGAGGGTCAGCACCAATTCAGCCATGCGAACAAGAGTATCAGTTGGTGGGTCTTTGACCTTCCTCTTGTCTAGGAAATATTCCAGCGACACCAGACCTTCATCGTTGGTAATGACTGTATACAGTGATTTGATGTCCATTTTGAACACCAAACGCTGCCCCCCCGTCATTGCTGAAACGAAAAGAGTCTATTATGTTCAGCATATGGGTGGTGTCTTTCACGTAACTCTCCAGGCCGCGCACGAAGGGAGCTGTTACCTTGTCGAGATATAAAGCTAATTTCTCTGTAGGACATGCGCAAGCAGAGACAGTTGGCCGCCCAGGGTTGCCAGGTTTGTGTATCTTAGGCAACAAATAAAATTTAGAAGTACGAGGACATTCAACAACAAGGCTAGTTGCTGATGGTGGAAGTTGTTTGGCCTCCATAGCCTGCTGTATAAATGAGCGGACCAAAACCTGGTGTTCCCCGGTAGCATCCTCGGCTATTTGGTGGTAAAACCGTTCGTCCGATAGCTTTTTTTAAAGCCTCAGCCAAGTAGAGGTCTTTACTCCAAACTACAAAAGCCCCACCTTTGTCGCAGGTCGGAATATAACGTCAGTTCTACTTCGCAGTCTCCGTGAGGCCTCTTGTTCTCCCGGAGTAAGGTTGCACCGCGTATGTTTTCGTTTGAAGTCTAGTTTGTTTCCTTCCCTGCGACATTTGTCAATATAGTGGTCCAAGGCTGAGAATTGACCTTGTTGAGGAGTCCACTTACTCCGCTTGGGTTTTAAGGATTCGAAAATATCATCATTGGGTCTGCTTGGTTGGTCAGTTTCGTTAAAAGAGTCACCATTAGGACCAAAGGAAACACCATCACAGCGGTGTGAAAGATTGTCATTCGTGACTTCACTTGGGGCATCACTACCGGTCGTAACTCTGGATGAGTCCTCAGTGAGAAGCGCTTTAAGGTGTAGGCGGCTGAAAAGTTTCTCAGTATCTTCTTAAGAAGTGAATTCATCCGTGGTGGGTGTTGTGGGTATAGAATTTGTCCCCTTTGCCAGCAGAGATCTTTCGTCCTCATCCAAAGGAAGATCGTCAGGTATTCCAACGACCAATCTATCTGTGCTGTAGCTGTTGTCTTGTAAAACGGTATTCATAGTTTGTGTCTTACGTGTATAACGAGCTGGTTGGGTTGTTGCTTAACGTGAGAACTTTTCCTCTTTGATGGCAGATATTTGATCATATAAACGTCTATTAAGTCTTTGAATCGAATACGTTAAACGTGAATATGATCTAGCATTGCAAAGTGAGGTAAGGTCATTACGACAATTCTGAATGTCAACAGAGAGATTGTAGCAAAGATGTTTTATTGATGTTATCGTCAGACGCATAAGACGGCAAGAAGAACTCGCATATTTTCCCTAATGAAGGCAGCATTGCCGAAACGTCGGAGTTTTATTTGCAATTATCAGCGTTTAACTCACCACCTTCCCACTTTTAACACACACAAACGCTAAGCAGAAACCCCCTTTATATGTACTGAAACAGAACCTTGCCATGGTTGTTTTGGACTTGAGCATGGCCTTGCAGGCCCATTTCGCATGCAACCAAAAACAAACCAATTCTTGATAATAACATATTTTCTTGCAGTCTGTAGCAAATGCGACAAACTGCAAATAGGTGCTTGCTCAATTCACTGTGCTCTACAATGGATGAAGGAGAGTTCAGATGTTGTTATATCAGAAGGGTTGACAAAAGCAAGAGCTACAATTCCCAAAAACATGGAATTGAAATCTTCTAGTATTCCAGGTAAAAGCTTGCTTTTAGTCTTGTCTTTGTTGGCTTATATGCATTAAATCTAAAATGCAGTGCATTTTGAGAGTGGCTCAATGTCAGATGAAATCTAACTTGTGGTCTGAGACGACAACTGGAACAGGCTCTCACAACATTCAGAAAGAGGCTTTCCTTTTGATGGTGAAAAATTACAGATTATTCACAGAAGAAAACCTCAGCGTATTGTATACCCGACGTTACCGTTTCTGTTCTAGAATGCGCATTAACCTGTCAAGTGTGCTCGAAACAGAACTGTTAATCATTATCTGGTTCGTTTTTTAGATGCTGGCCTGGGAATTTTTGCCTTGGAGAGGTTTGAAAGTGATGTAGTGTTTGGCCCTTATTGGGGTGAAAAGATAGACGTGGCAAATGTAACACCTAACATGGATCAGGGCTACATGTGGGATGTAAGAGGCTTATTATTGTCGTTAAAGTTGTCCCTTCATGCGAAAGTTCATTTTCCCGCTAGATGCACCTTTCCATGATATTTGTCACAACCGTAAACCTCTCATTTTGGACATTTCCTTGATGATGAAGGCTATTTTACGTCATGTTATGATATCGCGGTCGGTTAGTGAAAACCAGAAGACACCAAAACCGGTAGTTCATTGAATGCACGAATATAATTTCTTACTGTTTTCACACCACGGTTTAAAGTGTGTAAAAATATAGGGAAGCATACGATCCACTAGCCTAGTACTATCCGTCACTACAGGTACCTCCTATAAGCACCTTTGTATCGAGAGAGACAGCAATTCAATGGGCCTTTTTTCTTGTTTCCAATCTACTAGCCGTGTTTCTCTGTTAAAGAGAATAATGATTTTTTTGGTAGAAGGTGATATCCTTTTTTGGTTTACAGCTGTACATCAATACTGTTTAATACTTTTAATACTTTTACTTTTAATACTTTAATACTGTCTAATACTTTTCCCTTCTTTATTTACAGATAATTGAACATGGGCGTGTCACCCATGTTGTTGATGCTCGGGACGAGAGTCACAGTAATTGGCTGCGTTTCGTCAACTGTGCTCGCAATGAAGATGAACAAAATCTAGTGGCTTTTCAGTATAGAGGTGATATTTACTACCGCGCGTACAAGGTGATCGAACCGGGTATGGAGCTCCTTGTGTGGTATGGAGATAGATACGCCTGTGACTTGGATATCCTGAACAAAGAAAAGAAACCCGCAGGTCTGTGTCTGAGAAAAGTTAATGTTAATAACCAAATGAAAGATCAGCAAGTTGGCGTAATGGGCTTAACTCTGTTGCTATTAAATTTCTGCAAACCATGCGTTAAACGACGTCAAAATTTGCTCATTACTCATAGATTTTGTCTTTTTTCTGCACATGAAAGGCTTACCTCTACTGACTGTAAACGTGAACAGGCATTGGCGCATGCTTTGCTAGTTTAAGGCTGGCTTGACAGTGACTGCATGTCCAAACTGAAGCTTTTTTAAAAAAACATCACTCTCATTACTCTCCAACCTAACGTTTATTATCACATTTACATCACTGCTGATTTGCCAACTATATACTTCCCAGTACTAGGATTTATGCTGCATGTTCGCTACGTGAACGCTATTTAAAGGCCTTCCCCGCGTATCTTCTGTGCCTTATCGGTAGAGCATGGAGGCACGTAATCAGAGGGCCAGGAGATCGGTTCCATACCTGTCGGCCTAGGCATAATCCTAACAGTAACTTAAGAACACCTTTCTTACGTTTTAGATGGTCCTGTACAATGTCAGAAGTGTTTCATGATCTGCTCAGGGCCTAGTTCGCTGGCCAGTCACAACAAATTCCGTTGCCAGATGAGCAGTGAACATCACCTTTGGCGCTGCATGCACTGTGACAGAAGCTTCAAGACACCAAGTTCGCTTCATTTTCACAAGAACATTCATAAAGGCATAAAACCTTTCTCATGTAAACTTTGTGGTGCGGTTTTCTCGTTCCCTGCGTCCCGAAAAAGGCACTACGCCCAACAGCACGGGCAGTGGGAGGCTTTCAGTTGCAAGCCATGTGACAAAGTTTTTGCAAATAAGAATGCCCTCGACGCACACGAAAAGAATTATCATAATCAAGGTGATTACAAATGCCAAGCCTGTGGCCAGTGTTTTACCTCTGGGATTAGTTTATCCAACCACAAAAGAGCACATGAAAGATCAGAAGCGCAGAATGTTTGTTCGATTTGCAAGAAGAGATTCGCTCATTCCTCCACCCTTGCGAAGCACTTGCGAGAGAAGCACCCAAGGGTAAAGATTTATAGATGTGGAAAATGTGGAAAGTTTTGTTCAGATAAACGCCGCTTAGCACTACACTTTGCCGTCAAGCACTCGACAAAACATGGCAACAGATTTTTCTCCAGTGATGACCGCCAGGCAGGACCCTTACGTGGGAATTCGTCGGTGAAACAGAAAAGCGCGGTGAAATGCGAATTTTGCTTGAAAGCTTTTCCTACTCTAGCTCTTATGAATCGTCATAAAGGTGCCCATTTTAGAACGAAAAATCCAACATTGCCCGTTGCTACTTATGACCATCACGCGGTGCCATCAAGTGAAAGTCGTGACATTAACGGGCACAGAAGTAAGGAACTAAAATGTAAAATGGGATACTTTGCTTGCAACGTCTGCGGCAAGTCATTTCGAAAGAAGCTGTCTTTAAACGCACACAAAGCTTCCCATTCTAGAACGAGGCGTCCAGCATTGTCCACTGCTACTTATGTCAAACCCACAGTGTCATCAAGTGAAAGTCGTGCAATTAACGGGCATAACAGTAAAGACCTACGAAAATGTAAAATGGGGAAATTTGCTTGCAACGTCTGCGGCAAGTCATTTCAAAATAAGCTGTCTTTAAAGGCACACAGAGCTTGCCATTCTAGAACGAGACATCCAACATTGCCCGCTGCAACTCATGTCCAACCCACAGTGCCATCAAGTGAAAGTCGTGACATTAACGGGCACAACAGTCAAACCCTAAAACGTAAAATGGGAAAATTTGCTTGCAACGTCTGCGGCAAGTCATTTCAAAAGAAGCCGTCTTTAAACGCACACAAGAGCCATCACAGTTTTAAACGGAGAAAATCTCCATTGAGTGATTCTCGCAGTGGCATTCATTTACGAAAGTGCATCAGAACATTTAGTTGTAACCAGTGCACTAAGTCATTCCTCACGGAGAGATCACTGCGATCACACAAGTCCCACCACAGTAGATTCAATAACACATCACCAGATCCTGCCATTGAAGAACAGAATGGTGTTAGAGGATTGAACACCCGCAAGGAACCCCTTCTGACAAGTTCCTTGTTGAGAAAACAATCAAACGCGAGTACTTTTCCAACGAGTAAACCAAGAGTATTCATATGTGGGGTTTGTGGAAAGAAATTTCATGACAAAAAAAATCTTCATCGTCACAAGGGACATCATTCCAGGGGAAGTTCTATCCTCAATCCAAAGTTGTCAAACACTTACGAATGCAGTACTTGCTTGGAGTTTTTTCACTCGAGAAGTTCCCTCAAATGTCACAAGAATCGTTTGCACGAAGCAGTAGATCCTGAATCCTTTGTCTGTCCTTTCTGTGACTTGAGATTTTCATCCAGGGAAGATCTTTGGATGCATAAGCAAGACCTACACAGCACGGCAGACCCATTCACTTGTATCCGCTGTGATGGTCGGTTTGGAACAAAACGCACTCGTGATCGTCATGTATGCCCTGGAAAGGAAAACCGCGACAAGGAGAGCTCGGTGAAACAAAAGACAACTGTCGAGTCGAAGCCAGCTCTTGATTCAGGTCGTCAAGAAACTCATGAATGTAAGACATGCTTACAGACGTTTCCATCCACACGCTCCTTGAGTAACCACAAGCGTTCTCATGCGGGTGTAACTAGTCCTTGTGTATGTTCCATCTGTCACAAGGGGCTTTCCTCTAAAAGGAGTTTGCTGAGACACAAACAAAGTCAACACAGTTCGACCAATCTTTTTGTTGAAAACAAATTACGTTCCATAGGTGAAGGCATTAAACATAACAGCAACAGTGAAATGAACACGTGTTGCAAAACAACAGAGCGTTTCAGTAGCGCCGAAGCATTTTCCGGTACTCTCGATTGTATAGAGCACAGTGCCTCGAAGCAAGGCGTTGGACAATCGTCAAAGAAAACGGCTTCGCCACCCAAGAAAACTCAACCATCAAGAAATAACGTCCATGTTTACAACGAACAAAGCTTGGAGCTAAACGGAGAAGGCGCCGTGGGCTTATGGAATTGCCTTTACTGTGAAAAGCAATTTAAAAGTGACAGTGTCTTGCGAAGACACTCCAGGGAACAACACGGTACGACAAAATGGATAGAGTACGAAAAGGAGGCTGCCCAATCTTTCAGGTGCCCGTATTGTGACGAAGAATTTAAAAGTCTCTCTGGAAAACATCAGCACGTTAAGGAAAAGCACCACACTTGTAACTATCCACCTTTTTCGTCTGGAAGCCAAAGCACTGGTCCACATTTTAGCCCATATAGCAAAGAATATCCAGCAAAGATGCCATTTAGCAGGGATACTAGCCCACCAATGAATTCAAGCAAAACAACAACGAAGGGAGCATTCAAATGTCAATATTGCGTCAAAGGTTTCTTCAACGCAAGTAGTCGCTACAAACACATCGAGATTGTTCACAGTGGCCGGTTTGGAACAAAACGCACTCGTGATCGTCATGGATGCCCAGGAAAGAAAAACAGCGACAGGGAGAGCTCGGTGAAACAAAAGACAACTGTCGAGTCGAAGCCAGCTCTTGATTCAGGTGGTCAAGAAACTCATGAATGTAAGACATGCCTACAGACGTTTCCATCCACACGCTCCTTGAGTAACCACAAGCGTTCTCATGCGGGTGTAACTAGTCCTTGTGTATGTTCCATCTGTCACAAGGGGCTTTCCTCTAAAAGGAGTTTGCTGAGACACAAGCAAAGTCAACACAGTTCAACCAATCTTTTTGTTGAAGACAAATTACGTTCCATAGGTGAAGGCATTAAACATAACAGCAACAGTGAAATGAACACGTGTTGCAAAACAACAGAGCGTTTCAGTAGCGCCGAAGCATTTTCCGGTACTCGCGATTGTATACAGCTCCGTGCCTCGAAGCAAGGCGTTGAAGAATCGTCACAGAAAACGACCTCGCCACCCAAGAAAACTCAACCGTCAAGAAATAACGAACAAAGCTTGGAGCCAAACGGAGAAGGCACCGTGGGCTTATGGAATTGCCTTTACTGTGAAAAGCAATTTAAAAGTGACAGTGGCTTGCGAAGACACTCCAGGGAAAAACACGGTAGGAAAAAGTGGATAGAGTATGAAAAGGAGGCTGCCCGATCTTTCAAACGCTCGTATTGTGACGAAGAATTAAAAAGTCTCACTGGAAAACAGATGATGTCTCCTGCCGAAGAGATGGGGTCAAAATCTTCTGATCAATCGCTAGAACTGGAAAATGCCATTGGCCAGACCGTTGAGAGTGACGTCCCTTTTGGCTGCTTTAGGCCGGGTTCAACCTCTGCTTCACAGCCATTCACTAAACTGAAAGCATTTCAGTGCGATTACTGTTCAAAGAGGTTCCATACGTGCAGTGTAATGTACAAACACTACCTTCTTGTTCATTCCAGGTTTGGTAATTTGGGAGAACATGATTTTGTTCGACCAATGGGGTGCCCGACGAAGAAGCCATCGCACCCGCCAGTACCCATCTCTACGGCTACGATAAACCCAAAGGATAGTGTCCTAGTTTCACAAGGCTATGCAGGTGGTCTGGGACATAGTCCTCTTCATGTCAACTTCACAGATTTAGTATCTACTACTGAGGAAGACATGGATTCGTTTGCATGCAGAATTTGTGCCAAGCTCTTCCAGACCAAAAGTGACTGGGCCGCTCACGTCAATGACGAACACAATGGTGTTGAACCAGTGCCATGTGGGATCTGTAATCCTTCAAGACCAGTTTTAAGACCAATTTCGGTTTCTTTCCAAAACAATAGCGTGCGACTACCGAGAAAGAGAGGAGTCACTTGCAGAGAAATCAACAATGACAAACAAGTGTGTGCGAAGAACATGACCACACCCAATCACGTCGTGTGTCGTCCCACAATGCCGGCGATCACTAACACGTTGCAATGCGACATTTGTTTTCTCTTTTTCAGTAGAAAAGACTGTGTTTCACGTCATAAGAAGAGCAAGCATTGCGATGACACACCATTTCAATGTAATAATTGCGGGTATGCTTCCAAGAGAAATGACTATATGGTATATCATAAATGCGACAGAAGAAATTAAGATAAACCTTGGCGTAGTTGAAACGTATTCGCAATTTAGGATTCCGTTTGAATGTCATTTGAAAAAGTCAATTTAATTTTAAAAATGTTACCTTAGCGTTATTGATTGCCATCGGTCTATTGCTCCAAATTTCTCATCCATGGTGCACTGATACCTTGTAGTTATTCCCAATTTTTTTAGAATATTAGAGCGCATTATTTTGGTTTTGCACTTCTACGGCTTGTAAAGCCTTTGATGCACCAGATATTAATTCATCACCTTGGGTTTTCCCGCCTACGTGAAGAAACTTCCTCCAATTTTTGTTGGTCCGTCTCTTTTTCTCTTTGGTTGGTAAGGGGTTTTACTCTGACTTTGGTTTACGAAGGTCAAGGGAAACCTACTTCAGTAGACCATTTGACAGTTTTGTGGCCATTTGTGTGCTTAGTGCACTGGCCTTTTAATAGAAGCTAGGCTGGAAGTTGCCCTGTTATGTTACAAACCTCCTGCTCTTCATTTGCAAATCGTGTTACAGTGTATTTTCATGCTGACGCGCCCGTTAACATTTAACACCTTTGACTGATCCCGAGGGAAACAAATTTAACTGTTTCCCGAGGGACTAGTCTTCAAGTAATTTATTATATTGCTGCAAATTTTGAAACTGGAAAGTCATTAAACCTCACTGTAACGGCGGTCGTTACCATCTGAAGTCATAGATTTTGCAATTTCGCCTGCTAAGAGATTTTGGCGGGAAACAGTTTCATCGTTAGATGCTATGTGATCTCGAAGCAACCGATGAGAGCGCGCGCTGTTGGGAAGAATTTCCAGCTTTCTACATGTGAAAATCAGGAAGGTAACAAACCAAGGTCACCTTTACCCTCGCTTCTATTCAAAGGCCAGGGCACTAAGCACACAATTGTAAAATTGCCTATTCTTGAAGTGTAAATACAATTCTTCTCTTATTTTTCCTACAAAAAAGGTGATGGAAGTTTAAAATTTTCGTTCTAGACTTGTTTAACTTATATTCGTTTACCAAATACCAAATGAAGTTACTTATATCACAATTTATCCTTGTATTAAAGAGCTTGGTTTTAAAAGCTCGATATTTTCGAGATCTAATAGAAACGATTGTTATTATTTTAAGATAACAGATTTTAACTTAAGATATTTTAGAAGTTATTATACAGAGAGTTTAGGCTATGAAATAAACATCCTAAATGGAGGCTATGTTGCTCCGGTAATTTTTTCCGCCAGCATGTGTTAGGATCTAAAACATACTTTCTTAAAATAGTAAGCAATCTATCGCCAAAAAGTACGATTTCCGTCTGATACCCTAGGAGGATTGGAAATACCTTGTGCCAAACGCCTTCGAAGCTTATGCTGTGAGTTTCGGCTGATATGGTTTTCCCTTCTGCCTTGGTTAGGTAATAAAACCGAAGGAAAAGGCAAAGTTGTATTACTTTAAATCGACTATGAAGAACTCCAGTGTGCAGCACAATAGAGTACAGTCCGTAGAAAATTGACAAATCATAGGGATTTCTTACTACGAAATATATATCTAAACGGAGTGCATCGGCGTTAAATTAGAGCTGCTTCGAGAAGAAATGTCATCTTAAAGCAAAAAGGTGTTATCGACTGCGGCCACTTCATCCTTGTTTGAACAGAATTTGATCAGTGCAATGGAAAAAGAAACCATGAAAGTAACTTTAGGCCACTTAGGTCCAGTTGGTATTGCGTATAAGCCCGTTCTCATCTTATTTCATGTTTATCCAACAGCCGTGATCATTTTATTGCCGTGGGCCCAAGTCTGGAATTCTCCAGATTAAGGGAAACACGTTTATGGAATACGGAAATCCATTCAGACGCTTCAGCCAGGAAAACAGCTAGGACTATGAGTGCTTTCCATTTTATTCCAAGAGTTTCCGGAAATTCCGGTTTAAACATAAATAGAAAACACTTTTTTTTTCGGGCGTTCCACTTGAAAACGTACAACGAATAACTTTGACATATTAAAAATTCCGTTTCTAAAATATTGTCCAAGCCCCGGTTGTTCAAACGTACAACGCTATCCGCCGGATAAATCACTATCCAGCGGATACGGTTTAGCACTGGGTAGAGATTTATCCGGTGGATAGCGATTTCCACCTTTCGAACAACTGGGCTGGGGAGGGTATTTCCATCTCCAAGCCAAAAGTGTTCGGAAATCCCACGTAGCACGCCGTGTTTTCCTGAGGTTCAGACAGATCGCCCCCACTGGGTCCACTTCCACAGAGTAGGTTACACAGACGGTCTCCTCTCTTTACTCTTCATTGAGGATCCCCGTACTGAAGGTCACTCCGTTAGTATGGTCACATGGTGTTAGTTATTTTCAATCGTGTTTTTTTTTCTTCCTTGACAATTTGTCCCTTGGCAGTACCAGACGCTGCCAGAAACGTTAACGTTTCTTCGCTAGGGTTAAGCACACGCTCCGGGTTCTAACGACGAAACTAAATGTTGACCCAGCAGAGCCTTTCTTTAGCTTATTCGATTTTTGCGTACCGTAAATGACCTAAAACGCTAGGGCCGTCTAATAATTTTTAGGGGTCCAAGCAGGAGCGTTTAATAGATAGGGGGCCTTTATAAGAGGAGGCGTTTATTCTCATAACTGTGACAAGCTCAACAAAACTAATAGCGGAGCTCTCGCGCGCGAGAGCACGCAGCGGCGAAGCACATGGGTAAAAAAATGTGGTAAACTACCCATCTGAGAAAATTTGGTCATCACGTGACCGTACGCCGCCCGAAAGACCGTCCGTCTGCACCACAGGCATACCAATGTGAAATAATTCAATCAAAAGGTATGGCAACCCAAATGCAACTCAAGGTTTTATTTGGAAAGAAATCACATGGCCGCCCGGACTTTTAGAAAGAAAAAACAACAAAGTCGTGTCTTTTTCGACGTTATTTTACGTTTACACTCACGTGGATAACAGAGAAAGAGCTAGAGCGGTGATTGAAAACAAAAGAGACGAATTTTGTAGGAAGAAAAACATGAAAATTCAAAGCGGCTGTGAGACAATGAGAAATACTAGCGGCAAGCAAGGTGAAAATGAGCGGCAGTGAAAAATAAAAGCGAACATGAACACAGGAGACAAAATACTGGGTAAGCACATACCACAATTCCTCCATAAAAATAATGTGTAACTAGGAAGGTTGATGTTTTAGTCCTCCAAAACAGCGTTGTTATTGTGCAAAACAACGGCAAAGAAAGACAAAAAGCGTGCTGCACGTGCAAATTTGTTTTTTTGCTAATTAGAAAAAAAAGTGTGCTGCACGTGCAATTTGTTTTTTTGCTAATTAGATCTATTGATCTTGATGCCATTTTCATTTGCCCTCCCCGTTTAGCATTACACGATTTAATTTTGTTTTTGTTTACAAGTATTATTAACCAGAGCTTCGCTTTTATCCCTGGCTAAATCTATATATTACGCTTTCGGCAAAAATATCAAGAGAGTTTAAAAATAGCGGAATATCCACTCCATCAATTGATACGTTTAGGTCGTCTAGGGACCCAACATTGATGTCAGAATCTTCGCTCAGGGTTATTGAGTTGTCGTCGATAGTCTTTCCTTACTTTGAACTTGACATTAGGCAAGATCAAATACGCAAAGCCTTCTTAGGCAAGAAACTGAATTAATTGAATGATTTTGCTTCTTTCTTTTTCTTCTCATGAGGGAGGGAGCCTTTATTGGAGAGGGGTGTCTAATAGAACTTAAAAGGCGTAGCGGGGGCGTTAATTAGGTAAGAGGCCTATATTTGAAAGTGGTTATGGTATTCGACATTCTCGCCGACGTTGACTAAAAGGATCGAAGCTCTCGGAACGAGAATGGGTCCTCGAGAATTGAAAGACTGCATGAATCGAGTAAGATCTTTGTTAAGCATGTGTTGCATGTTGCTTGGATAGAGCTTGGTACAGCGGGCTCTGTTTGGATTATCAATAAACGAATGCTCTCTTAAAAAAAACCAGTCAAGATTGACTAGTCCAAAAGGTCGGGCTGCGGCTACTTCAAAGGGTTGAAGAGATTCAGGCAGAGCCTACTTTTCTTCTCCTCGACCAAGAAGACAAAAGAGGGCTCTGTTCGCAGCAGGGTGATGTTGATCTCTCAAATAAGAATTCAAAAGTTGCTTATCGTACTTTTTCGCTTGTATTAAACTAACTTGCGACTTCGAGTTTTAGGCACTGGTTTCAGATTCAGTGATCCTGATGATAAGATAGAATGGTTTGCGATGGCGAATGGATGGTTCACGCTAACTTTGGCTTAAATTTTTCCTTAACTTGTTATTTGATGTTTGGTGTTAACAAGCCACCCAAAATATCAAGTGCTTTTTTGCGCATTCTAGAAGAATACGGTTTTCTGCGTTTTGGCTTCACTTGTTCCAATAGCCCTAGCCATAGTATTAGTGGGGTGTATTTGTTTATTTTGGAAAATCAAAGATACCTTTCATGGTCTAAAAGTTGCTTCAGGAGGTTTCCTTCCTTCGCCAAATCTTGATTTTTGTAGGCTTTTCATTTCTTAACCGTAGCCATCCCTGCATTCCGAGTGAAAAAAAAACCTTTTCTTGAAGCGGCTATTCTTGTTCTATGCTTAGACGATTTCCATTTTACCCACCCCAATACACTGGGTCTCTTGCAGCATCAAGTCACGTCTCTTCACTGGCCCCCACTTTAATTCCGCTCTATAAACCCACACCGCTGGATTACCTGAATTATCCCCTACGTTACGAAACGCTCTTTTTCTTTCTCTCTTGGCAGATGCAGCGAGTCAGCAAAACCCCCAGTAATCCGTTGTGGAATTGTCATCAGTTTACCCGTTCTTTTATCAAGCTTCCGAAGTTCGTCTTTGAGTGACGCCCACAGATGGTTTACCATTTCCAAAACGTTTCCTGAAATTCCGTTGGCAAAATCAATGGAAATTCCGAAATTCGTGTCCCCCTTTTTCAAATCTTTTGTTGAATCAAGTTTCAGGCTTTTGCGGCCATTATTCGGATACACTTAATGGGACTACTTCAACTGGTAAACGTGATTCTCAAACAAGATTTACCAGCTTCCTCTTCCCTTCCAAATCCTCTGCAGTGCCCGTGTTCACGTTTTCCGCTTGCTAATATTAAGTCAAAAGGGAGAACATTTTACTTTACTTTTACCGAGGCCTACTTGTTTGCCACGACATCTATCCTCCATTGCTTTTTTCCAATTCCTGAAACCCAAGCCCAGCATCCCCCTTAAGCACGTTGATGTAGTTTTGAGGTAGCCTTCGTCCCACCCGCCCGCTACTGTTGATCAGGCTCCGTAACAGGAGACGTACGCTCTTTTGTCCAAAGCAATACCGAACCAGTTTTATTCTTCGTGACCTTATTTGATGATCTTATGAATGAATGTGGGAAGACTAGAGAAGCAACCATCAAGCTGCCTGACAATCTGGACAATCTTACTTGTGATGGTCCACGTTTCATGAACTGGTTCAACAGGGCCTTGTTTCCAAAAAGCCTATACATAAGTTAAAAATTCTAATTGCTGCAAAGATGTAAATTGTCCGTCTTTATTGATACTTTGAATTATACCTCAGCATAACGAAGCGGAGGGGGGAAGCTGGAGAGAGGAGGGTTTCTTCCCCCATCACTCCCAACCCCCACTTTATCCCGGGCAGTTTTTTCCTGTTCACTCTTCTTTACGCCTCCCCCACATCCTGAACGCCTGTAGCACGCTGTTCTGGCGCTAGAAGACTCTTCTGTGACCGCAAGAAAGAACGACACCAAAACTAAGACTGTCTGATTCAAGGGAGCAGTGCTGAGATCATTGTACTGCTTACCATATCTTAAAAGTTTAACAACGAGAATGACTAATCAACTAATTTCTTCAAGATTTACAATTAATGCAAAAAGCTTGAAACATTACCGGCATGCATCCAGTTGAAAAAGTCGGGTCTTCTGTCCGCTCGTAAAACTCGCTCGTCTGTTGATTAATTGACAACCCAGGTCAATTGAGCGTTTGCTTTGATAGCAGACACCACTAAACCCCCTTTTAGTTGATTCGCATTCCCCGACAGACAGGCAAAAAAACCTGCATCACGTGACCAAACTTTGGTGAATCACGCTTCCCGGGTAGGAGTCAAATACCGTTTCCCGTTAAGATATTTTGCTTTTTCCCGAATCCAGCACTGTACCGCTTGGTCAAATCATGGATCCAGAAAATACCATTCCAGACCCTGGTTCAACTTTGGCTTTGAACAGCCCGACCTTCCTCTCTCGATTCATCTTTGTTTTTTACAGTTTCTTCATCTTGTCCATGGCTTTCCAAGCCTTTGCCTTCTTCAGAGCTTTTTATGTGACCACCTCGATACTTAAAATATGTTTTTCTTTCTACGCTCTCTCCATTTCTAGTGGCGATATGAGGTGCGAATTTCTGATTGAATGCCATGAAGTGGGTCTTTTTCGCTTAAATGTGCAAGCCAACGTCTCCTGCTGCCTTCCCAAGATTGGACAAGGGGGCCTTCTTTTGCCGTTTATGTCGCAAGTGCGATGTCAAAATCTTTGATAAGTAGTTGATGTCTTCTGCTCCGCCGTCTCTCTCTCGGAACCAAACTCTTCTTCCTGCTACATCCTTCATAAGAGCATAATCTGACTAATCTAGAAGATATGGAGCAACGGCGTAACCTTGCAATACTTCAGCAGTTTAATTGGGCCATTTGGCGTGATAAACTTTGGTTGAAGTATTCTTGTACATGATTTCAACTGAAACCAAATGGATAACATTTTTCTCAAACCCTAAGTTTCGAGTTCGTAAATTGTGCTTAATGAGCTCTTGCTTATGCATTTTATATTTATATGACATAGATTTTCTCTGTAAAAGTGGTAGAAAAAGTTGAATTAAGCAGTGTCAAATTAGCCACCCATGGCCACGGGCAGACCTTTGATGACAATTGCTCCACCGTCGGCACGCGCGACAAATAACACGGGGACAAATAGGCACCCTTGGAATCGACAAGGGCATAAAGTTCATTTTCTTATGTTTCTGGGTTTGGTTGTGTAATGAGTTTGAAGCGAACGGAAATAAGATTTATGCCAAAGGAAAATTGAACCACGCATTTTTACCAGAGCTTCTTTCTCCCATGTCCGGCATTTTGGATTCTTTCATCCACGCTTAAAAACCCAAATCTTCTTCAAACACTGGATCTTAGGACCCTCTAAAAATCGTCTGGCGGCTTGATTCTGTTTACCTATCTTCCATTTCACTGTTATTTCCATCCCCCGAAGATACCTAGTCAAAGTAACTCATCAAACAATGTCTGGTACCTTTGTCCGCAGACCCAGTTGCAACAGGCAAAGAATAGTATGGTATGGATCGGTATACGCTAAGAAAACTTATAAAAGTGCATGCTTGGTGGCATTGGGTGAGGGTTAGTGAGTCAGTCTGCAGGAGACAACTCATGTGTTGACAACCGTGTCACTCGTTCTGCCAAGGCAGATTGCAGAGATGGCAGAGGCGGATACACGATTATTTAAAAAAGGGGCTTGTAAGTATGAGAGTTCAGGGCAAACGTCCCAGGGCCAAAGGAATGGGAGAGGTAGGATGGGGGGAGGGTTATAGTTAAGGTTATGTCTGAATATGTAGATTTTTTCATTTGGATTTCCGAGGAACTTGAGGTGCTATTTATATCTCGTCGTCTACCTCGACGATTGCATGGCGATCACTGCAAGATCAGAGAATCGATTTTCAGCAGGTGTCTTCGGACCTAGAGCAGGTCTTGATTCGTTTCAAATGAAAACGATCGCTCAGCTTCTGCGCTTATGATCGGTGGGGTACAAATGACGGTGGAAATGACCAGAAGCTGATGGATGTTAGGGAAAGCATCTTCATCGCAATCACCAATTGCTAGTAAAAGGTTGTTTGGAAGCACCCTATCTGTTGACTGCCAGAGTGTTTTCCATCTACGTACCTCATTTTCAAGGGATTTGGAAAACGAAATGTCTTTCTCCCAGTATGCCTTCTACTTCATCATCCAGCTGTGACCAGACAAGTTCGAAAACTTCCCAAAGGGGGGTTGCAACCCCCTCAACCCTCCCCCTGGATCCGCCGCTGCACGGACACAGAAGTAAGAGCACGTCCTTTAGTGAAACAGGCGGCTCAGGAAGAAGAAAACCCGAGTTCTCTGGTCTCATCAGGAGTGGAAACCAAGGAACCTAGCCAAGGAAGTCCATGAGACGACCCGAAATACGTCTGCGTCCCCAGGCTACTGAAAGGCACTCCCTTTCCCTTCCCTTTCAAACGCCTGCCACGCAGGCTACTGAAAGGCAGGCAATCTGGCAAGTGTTGCTATCAGATACAAATGACATCTCTGGAAGATATCAATGTGTACTGGGCCAGTAAAAAGCAAGGAGGGAGCTTTGCTCACGGACTCAATCAAAGCGATAAGCAGAACACCTAAAAGAACTTGTTGACCGCCCCCCAAGATATTCCAGATACAGGCGTAGAGTTCTTCCTTCCTGCAAACTACCTAGCTCAAAAAGACAGCCTAGATAGCTTTCTTGGAGGACTGATGGGGAATAAAAATTCCTATAAGGCATGACTTGTGAGGTCATACATCAATGGTTAGATTTCTACTGGCTTACTGGAGTCGGGTAGAGGTATTTCCTATCACCATTCATTTTCTCATGGACATTCACTGAATTATCCGAAACACTGTAACAAACATGAGCAATGGAATTCACGAGACACGGATGTCATTACAGCCTAACGATCTTCAATTTCTCTTCTCTTGGCGTACCTCTCGAGTCGAGCGGGCTTGCCGTTAGGCTATTCAGTTAAAGAAAAAAGGTCTCACCGGGATAATATCTTAAACCAGGTGGAATATACCTTTCATTCACTAGGGCAAGGAGAAGATCACCACAGACACTAAAATATCCAGGGCAACGTGAAATGTTTGGCACTAAGGTAGTGACACCATCGCCAGTCAATGACGTCAAAAAGACACATTCACACCCTGCCGGCAGAGCCTTTCTTTCGCTTGCTCCATTTTGGTCTACTGCATTCCCGCACTCAAGAAACCAGTTTGGCAAGAGCAAACAAGCTTGACTGGTCCAAACAGTCGCGTGGCAGCGATTTCAAAGGCTTGACACGATTCCCGCAGTCTCCTTTTCTCCTCCTCGATCACGCAGGTAAGAGAAGGCACTCCTCGCAGGGTGGCACGTTTATCCCCTGCCCGATGCTATGGACTACTTGAAACATCATGCAAACTCTTCACGTCTAACGTCAAGTTTGGGCTTCTGCTTTCTGAGGATCAGCAAAGCATCGAAGAAGAAGCTTCAATTGTTTATCAATAAGTGTCCGTGAAGAAGTGTAAAGGCGCGATAGTAACTTCTTATGGCAGAAATCTGATGAAGGAAATCGCTTGCAAATGCCACGGGCAGCACCTAATTATCAAACAAGAATTTGCACCAGACAGCGACGCACAAAACAAAAGTTATGTAGAGATGCTTGACGTACTCGCTTCCGAGAAGGAGGGACGGGCTAACTGCGTTTACAAGCCTAATAGGCTATGTTCAAAGGGCTACCCAGAAATGGGGAAATGGGTTTCTTGGTGGTAAACGCCCGATCAGCATTTGGTGTAAGATGAAATTGATAGTTCAGTGAATAAATTAATAAATGCATTTATTACTTTAATATAAACATAGATATATTACGTAGTGTTGAATAAAAGGAACTTGAAATCCTAAGAACTATATAAACTCCTCTTTTATTACAATATTTGGAGTATAAATCTGCGTTGCATCAATTACCGTGAACTGCTTAAAATGACATCCTATTGGCGTGTAAGTACGTCATCATGCAAGAAGTCAAACTCATCCCCAGGCAAAGTAAGATTAGAATAAAAAAGAAGAGCCAAAGAGACAAGCCATAGACAAAGTTTAAGAGAAATGGAGCCTGTGAGTCAGTTTAGACTGGATACACGTTTCATGTTCTTTGTACTCGCGGTATTATAGTGGTAAGGCTTTTTTACAACCTCAGCTCAGTGATATACACTATTTTGTATCTAACTAATAAAACTGGTCAAAGATGCAACTGCAGGAATTAAAAATTTAGGAATCCTAAAAATGTACTTATTGAAAAAGCTACAAAGTACTCAACCCTTAAGCCGATGAATGGGGAAATCTGAACGCGATTTTCTATTCGCCACGCAAGATTTTGTGACATTCCTCTTTAAATTCCCTATGGAGTCCACTTCTCAGTATTGTTTGAGTTATACTTATAAACCCAGATGCTGATATGTATTATCCTCTAAAGACTTGCTTTAAGAGAGTTCTAAAGCCTTGTTTCAATGTAACCCTCAAAAATTGTCCCTGCTATACTCTAAAATTCTAGGACGATAGGTACCATTATATGGAACCAAGCTAAGCCCTGTTAATATCAAGCTACAAATGATAGTGATAATTAATGTTGTATAATTTCATCACGAACTACAACACGAAGACTGAGTATTGCCCTGGGATCCCTCTGGTCCGAGGATAGGAATGAGGCCTGATTCATTCAAATCATTTAACCTTGCGTTCTGGAAATCAAAACAACGAATACAAGTCAGACACGACCCGAGAGGCCGTCAAATATCTTAGTGTTCAGACTTACCTAATGGTGGGAGATACTGTGTACAAGAAATTGTTGCATGACGTATAACGTAATTAGGCTAAGGATAAATATATGACAATTGCCTTCAGTTAGGGAGACCCTTATTCACCGCAAAAAAGCTGACCATTTCTATCCCTCTAGAAAGTGAATGCATAGGAAAACGTAGCACTATTAATGGCACTATTTATGAGCGGATCGAATTCTCCACCTCAATCTCGTTACTAGGGACTTCGTTCGTCAGTTCCTACGTAGGAAGAAGACATAAAGCTTGGGAACGATGGTAGGTCCTCCTCTCTTCAAATAACTGTAAAACGGAGTTATAACGGTACGCGGAAGAGAAACTAAGAGATGAGGAGCCTTAGAACTTGATTGACTACGTTGAGACTACATTTCGTTTCAGGGTAAACGGCGTTCTGATAAAACACAGTGCAAGAATGTGCATCTTGAGAAATGATTCGGGGATAGAAATCCGAGAGTCAAATCTACAACCTTCTGGCTACTAGTCCAGAACTGAGCTCTTCCACAAGCTACATGAGGCTAGAACTCACGTACATACTGCATACTGGTAGAACGGGAAACACGAAATTGTACTCATGATGAACTAGCTTTTAGCTCAATATGCGTAACGTGTATAGCCTGAAATTCATCCGATTGCTTCGAGTCGTTTTCTCCTCTCAACAACTGAGGGAGTAATAACGACTCGAAGTAATCGGATGAAATTCAGGCTATAACGTGTATTGACTGATTGATTGATTGAAGACTCGATGCGTTTTTCATGCCAAAAACGACGGCATTTTCATATTAAAACGAATTCCAGTGACACGAGATTAGCAAACTGGGAGAACGAAACAGGAAAAACGACTAAGGACAATCTGAAAACTAAAACAGGTAACCCATCTCCCAGATTAAACAGCGGGCTGGTTAACTTGGCCGCCATAGAAATTCTTCACAGGGTCCCAGAAAAGTAAGAGTCTTCTGGGGAGATCTGTACGCTTGTATATCCAGAGTCTGTTTTTGTCACCTATGAACATGTCCGTGATTGTATTTATATTTTTATACTGAACTAACCCTCCTCTGGTGATATTCCTTGATCTGTCTTGCAACGGCAAAAAAAGCCTGCAAGAAAACAAGACAACAATCATGTTATCAAATCAAAGGCTTGCAAGAAAAACAAAACCAAAACCAAACTATCAAGATAGCGGTCTTACAAAGCACGTCTCAAACAAGTCGAGCTCAAAGTTTTTCACGAGCGCGAGCAGGAAATACGAGCGGTAGACTTTTTATGTTTCTGTTGCAAAAGTGAGCGAGAGCGCGGGAGCTCGACCTTCGAGCTGGGACCAACTACCGGAACCGGAAATGAGAAGCGAAGGACTTTGAGAAAGTCTAGGCTCAAACGAAAAATGCATTTCACATGTGCTGATTCTACTACAGATGACCGAGAACAATAGATTTTCCTTATTAGTATTAGTAGTCCCGTTTGCACTTGCCCTTTTGTCGATCAGCAATTGTTTTTAATTATTATTGTAACTATAATTAATTACTTTTATTTCTTTAATTATATGTGTTCTTGTAAATTCTATCATGATTACATTCTTGCCCCAAAAAAGCGTAAAAAAAAGTACTTGCTAAAACCACACAAAAAGAACGCCAAGGCTATGGTCGCTAATTTCTCAACCATTTAGAAAGGAACAATTGTATTATTGTAGACTATTAAAGACAAAATGAGGAAAAAAATACTTCCAAAGCGTTTTGGTGAACTACAAACTAGACAGTACAACACAGCCTATCAAATGGGGGAAAATAATTCTGAATGGCTGAAAACTCAAAGGAACTTGAATTGCGGCGACCCGCCTTTTTCCAAGTATTAAAAGCTTCTTTTTATAATTCAGTTCTTTACCTCTGATACTCCGTCACCCGTTCGGGCACTTGTTTCAAAAAATTCCAAGTCAGCATTTTCACTAATCTGAAAAGGCGGAAAGAAATAAGACTTCAAACTTGAACAAAATAAGAACAAAATTAAGCTTATCATAAATGAGAGTGAAAACGGCGGTGCTACATTTTGAAGAATCATTGAAAATATAAGCTTAAGCTTAAGTTAAAACACTACAATCGTTCTACCCCTAACAGAACTAAAATATTAAACATGTAACGCCCTGTTTGAACTAGGAAAAATTTATCTCATCATAGAGCTTACCTCGCGGCATAAGATCTTTAATTAACCTACAAGGGCAACGACCTTTCTGAGCGTGGCTATGAAATTTCCCGCGTAAAAGGCGCACTGCATACGGTGAGAACCGCGATAAACAAACTCCCTGTCGTTTCTTCTCGATTAACCCTGGAAACGTTATCAGCAATTAATATTTGAATTTCTGTTGCTCTGCAAATGGTGAGCAATGTGGCAGTTTGTTGAGTGAGTAGAAAAATAATCCAAGTGTTGGGCATTTTTCAAAACTTTTCAAAGAGTCTTCAAAGATTTACTAAACAAGTTGCGACTTTTTGAAGCCCGGCTTTCGGTGTTCTCGTTCAATGTTACTTACATAAGTTTACATGAACGGCCTATTTCATCAAAATTATCACTGTTCAACATTACTTGAACAAGGACATTCCCAACAATGTAGCGGCGGAAGAGAATAATAAAATAAAAACATTGAAACAGTGACGTGGATTAACTTGTAAAATGTATGCCTCATTGAACAGCTTATGACTCCAACATTGTTCTTTAATTATGAAAAAGACCAGCCCCACCGATTTGCCTTTGTCAGTGTCTATGACTCTTTCATCATCACAATCTATTTTGTTGCCAACAAGGACTTTACAAACATCAGGCGATGCATTCTGAGAAGAAAAAAAAAACAAAAAGAGCTCTATGAAAATAAAAATTGCAAATTGATAAAGGATTCAAGAATTTTAAAATTATGACCATCTGTAAAACTTCAAACAGAATGGTGTCCAGCAGAATTGTCCCTGCACTTCAATATTTATACTCAGCTAAGATTTATAACTTAAATTAACAGGAAAGTTATTGAAATGGAAGCTGTCTCCTCGAGAATCCTAGTGAAGAATTGGTTGAAATTCAGGCCAAATGGAACTTACAATATCTTTGTGAGTCTTTGGCTCAATGTTGTAAACACCCATGCAGGTCTGCTGCTCCTATTTTGTCTATTACATTAGCTTTTAAGTTATAATGTTTATTTATTATACACGTATTTAAAGGAGGCAGTTCAATGAATAAGACTTAGGATTTTGCTTGTCTGAAATGGCATTCTTAAACTCATTAATAATTTATAAAGAAAATACAAAGAAAATTAATGTTAATGAGTGTTTGGAAAACAGATGAAAAACTGCTCATTTTTGCACCCTTAATTTCTCCTACTAAAATCATTTTGTTTGAGAAGTAATATCAAGCATTCAACATAGTGTTTCATCACCAGATGATATATTACATCTTGGCCTCTCCTTGATGGAATTCTAAGTCTTAAAAACTGCAGGTTTTTTGCATTTTCCTGTGAATTGCCTGGTCATATATACAGTGTATTTTATAAACTACAAAGGCTAATGACTGCTGCACTTACATCCTGAATATTTTGTAGCCATTGTGCAATGTGTTTAAATGAGTCCTCAGTAGTTACATCATACACTAATACAATACCCTGAAATATAATTATCAAAGTGTAATGAGTCTGAAATGAGGTTTGAAGCAAATTTGGCATGGTTTGACCTGAAGGATGAAAAACGTACATTTGGCAAGGTCGTGTGCAAACTCGCCCAGAAATAGTGGTCATACAATTACTGCTGAGGTATGGATCTGAAACTTAAATTCAAGCGCCAAGTTTATTGTGGGTTTACCGTGGTGTCAAATGAATTCAAAGATTAAGATTTAGTTTGGTCAGGAGCAATTCTTGACCACTAAAATGGCAGCAAAAAGAATCAGCCAATCTAGTTGAGGTTTTGCTTTGTTGCCAGCCTGGTGTTGCGGACGCATACAAAGTATGGACCCCCAGTCCATTGACCTCTTTGTGGACCAGGTCCATGGACTACCCTGTGGACCACCCCTAATTTTTAGACCCCTGGTAAAATTCATCTTCAAATACTCGTATTAGAGGTGGTCCACAGGGATAGTCCATGGACTGGGTCCATGAAGGGGTCTATGGACTAGGTCCAAAGGGGTGGTCCAATTAGACCCGGGGTACATGTTTTGTATACATCCTAGTGTTGCTAGGAAACAAAGTTCACTCAACCTAAGCGAACCAAGATCCCACTATGCTAATTAGATCTATGCTGCTCATAAATTTGCCAAAGTTATAAACCTCAAAAAACAAGCAGCTTCAGCCCTCACTTTCCAAGGAACTTACATGTACAGCCCATTCGTATGCCCACATTAACAACTTTCAATGCATTTCACCCTTAGCTTACATTTACATGTACATATATAAGTAAATATCTATATTATAATATTTATCCACCTTTTGAATAACTGAGGCCAGTTCTTAAACCAAACAACAACAATTTTTATATCAAAAGAGTCAGAGTGATGATTATTTCACATGTAAAAGCAGTAAATGTGCAGCTTTGTTACCTTTTCAAAGAGCTACACATGTACAGTTTCTTAAATGCTTTTCTTGCTGCTTTTAAACAACATCAATCTGACTTTTTGGCCTTGTTTTCTTGATATAGTTAACTGAAAATTAAATACTGTATCTATTCAAATACAAATGCAGTTAAATAAATTAGAAAAATATACCATTGCTCCTCTGAAATATGCACTTGTGAGGGTTCTAAATCTTTCCTGTCCTGCAGTATCCCTAATGTCAACAGGAACAGGGATGTCACTTTCTCAAATACATAATTTAATTATTACATACTTAATAGTAGTCTGAAAGTGATTAGTTTGTAATTGAGCCTATTAATTAATCTGACTAGCTGGTGCTAATTTATTTCTACAGGGCTGGCAGAATGTACTTTATTCTGTGTCTCAAAATATGGAAAACTAAGTTCTGGCTTCTTTTTCCAACAACTGAAAGAGTTTCCATCTTGAACAAGTTGACCACTTACAATTTCCAGTTTCAGTGTTTTGCTCCTATAAATGAGTATAAATATGATGAGGGCAAACTAAATGTGACACAATCAGGTTGATACCATGCTTAATGAAATAATTGACCCCTCCCCACACCCCTTATGACCTTGAGCGACAGAATAATGGCGCTATTGATGAAGCCTTTTATGGGTCTAGAGCTCCAGATGGCAGACCTTCACCTGGGCTTGAAGATCAAAGAATACACAGAGCAGTGGCATAAATGGCAATGTCAGACTCACAGCTTATGTCTGATGATAAAAAAAGAGTTTGACCATGCTGAACATCATCAGTGCATAAGCTGTCATGACCAACATTGAGGCTAAGGTGGTCATCGACCTGGAAAAGGGCTTTAGGTTCCAGCTCCACTATTTTTAGAAAACTTCAACACAACCAGACAGTCTATTATATTGCACTCCAGGGCCTGCATAAAGCAGTCTATTAATCAGGATAATTTGACTGCAAATTTTCTGCAAACATTAATCTTTTCTTTGGAGGAAATTATTTTCTAGCTACTGCTGTCTTTGTTTATTCTGCCTTTGTCTGACAAGTTGGCGAAGATCCATGCAAGGAATCTCTGGAACAAAGGTAGTGGCAGCAGAAAACTGCAATTAATTAAAGTAACTTAACTTTCACTTTAACTTAATTACATATCACACACTCAGAAAGATACATGAGAACAACCAAAGCCGGGTCCACAAAATTGGTGACAGCTGGAGACTTGATTAATTAAACTATTAACATGTTTAATTAAGTTTAAGCTTGACTAAACTAACAAGTAATTATTATTAAATACTTAGCAAATAATTATGACTACTAAACTTACAAACACTCGATAATACGTATAAACCATACAAACCAAATAATACACCTAGAGAATAGAGATTAGATTAAACTATAAACTTAAGGGATATAATTTCTACAGCCCTTCGACAATTTATGCATCTAAGGCTAATTCAAGTACTCAAAAGATGCAGTCCTAACTTTTTAGTTACTTATAGTAAGGCTATTGCACACAGTTAACGGAATATCATTCCAAATGATAGGAGCTTGCCAAGTGATAACAAATTGATATTTATGACAGGTTTTATGCAGCTTAGAACCTGAACGAGTTATATAATCATGATATTCAGAATTAAAATCTAGGATCGAGGAAACAGGAGTAGGTAAAAGGTTATTAAAATGTGAGAATACAAAACAGGCAACATGGAATTTATGGATAGAGTGGAGCGAAAGAATATTATGCTTAGAAAAAAGGGGCTTAGAGGTTCAGGGGCACCCAACAACGGTCTCCTCCTACACTCATTGAAATCACTTTTTTGGGCATCCAGAGCACTTTAAGATCTCTAGACATGCATTTTAAGCAGTGCTATGAAATTTGTATCAGTTCAGTCATCCTAGGGTAACTTGAGTCTTTTGAAATTACAAGGGCTTCAGTATTATTTTCCTGAAAATCTTAGATGCAATTTAATTTATTATGAAAGTGAGAATTTTCCTGATTCCTTAATGCGATAATGTTAGGTTTCCTTTTTCCAAGAAAAATCCCCTCACCTGGGGAATGAAACGTGAAAAATTAGACTTGAGAAAATCGCAGGGGATTTTTTAGATAAGCTTCAAAAATTGTAGATGAATAGAATGGTCATCTATCTATCTGGAAGTTTTTAGATGTCCTCAAAATTCTAGGCAACATTTGCTTCTGCGAACAGACGTTTTACAGAAAGCAGTCATTGGGTGCTCCTGGACGGTGTGCACAGAGGAGAAAAAGTAATTATTCGAATGGCTTTCTATTATTTAATTGAAGTACATACTGGTTCAAGGTAACAAGCATATATAGATGTGCATATTAAACTACAATAATTGATGTAAGATAAGAAAAGACAATTATATAAAGTTTTCAAAGCATCCAAAGGTAAGGTAAAGGCAGCAGGTTGCTTCTGGTCCAGTTCTACATTAATGTACTTGATCCAAAGGAAAAAAACTCTCAGGCTTCAATTACCATAGATTCCTTTTTGGGAACCAGACCCAGTGACAAAAATTGTAATCATGACAGCTAATTTAGAAATCCACATAACTTAAACAGCAATAAATTTTACCAGATTTGTAGACGCACTCTTTTGCCATCGAGGTCTACTATTTTACTCCTGCAGTCAATACCTTGATAGAGAAATAGAGAAATATGCGTAGATTTAAAGATTTTTTTTTATTCCGCAAATTCTGCAACGGAAATGAATTAAAATATCTAAGACTACTACACACTCTTGATGAAGCATTGCCGCTGAGCATTCGGATCGAGCTCATAATTATTTAATTAAAACTGTACGTGTGAAACTTTCAATTACCCTTGACAAATTAGGGTATGTCTTCACTCTTGGAATATGAAATTATATTGGAACTAGCGCGTATTTAGATAGGTTAACTACGATCACAAAATAAGTTGTATGAGCAAGCTGTGCACGTTTGAAACCTGGCAGACACTGCAGCTGATATGCGCTAAACTATGACGATGTATTGTGGTGCTAATTAAGGTTTGCTCAAATACTTGCAATAATTATTGTTTTCCACTTATAGGTTGATCAACGATATATATAACCTCTAAAATTGAACTTATTTGAACGCATATTTCTTTCTTTACTTTCAGCTAAAAACATTTTATTTTGATTAATTAGCTTGCGTTTTTCATAAACAAGATCAAGCTTATTTTGAAGGTCATCATCAAATATGCAGGTTTCCTTGCAACTTTGCAAAACAACTAACTTACCTATAGTGGATATATACGAGTCAGAAAAAATATTTTCTATAAATCTGAAGATCAGGCAAGTTTTTCCCACACCACTGTCTCCAAGAATGAGGATCTTGTACGTTACTTCGTAGTCTTTCTCCCCCATCTCGAAGCTCTCGAAATATGAAAAAGGAAGTGTTCTCAGAGTTCTCAGTTCACCGGAAAAGCGCTTGAGTCCAGACTGGCGCGGTTATGTAATAAGGCCTGGCTGCTGTTACTTTGTACCGGCCGCGCAGACGCAGTGAGGAGCCACGCCTGCTCAGTTGAACAGTTGCAAAGTCGGGAAGAAAGTCATCTAGCAGTGTTCTGGAATGGCCAAAACATATGATTTCCTCTTCAAACTATTACTTATAGGAGATTCAGGAGTTGGCAAGACCTGCGTACTGTTCCGATTTTCCGAAGATGCGTTCAATTCGACATTTATCTCTACCATAGGTTGGTTCATCGAAGAGAAACCGTTGAAGAGTTCTTCGGGTGTACTGTGTTTTGCCTTGGAATTTAGAGGGTTCATTGTGACTTCAGAATATTGAAGGAATTCTTTTATGGTTTTCAGGCATTGATTTTAAGATAAGGACGATAGAGCTGGATGGGAAGAAGATAAAACTTCAAATATGGTGAGAGAAGAATCAAAGTGCACATGATAGTTAAAAGCAAGCTACTTGTACGCCGCAGTCATCTTCTCCGTTTTAGGTTTAGTGAGTGAGCCATTGCTCTTTTCCTTAACTAGGCTCCTATGCATTTAAGTGTCTAATGGACCCTATAACTATAGCATGTGTCTTATTACATGCTGTGGTGTGCATAAGTTCATACTATAAATCCTTATTTATGGTTTACGTGCTTGACCCAGCACTTTCCTGGTGATAAGATAACCTGAAAAAATATTCCCTTCCTTTTGCTATCTAAGAAGTACTATACACCACTGTTTGTAACATGAGGTGTAATTTTGATAAAATGCAGTTTGAGTGCATAGGGTTTTTAAAAACTTCTTCAAAAATTTTTTTGTCTTTGAGGCAATTGATTAGAAGCTACAAGCTTTCCTAAATGTCAGTGGTGTACCCAAATTACATTGTAACATCACTAAACGCTTTTTTTTGTCTAATGAGTGATGACAGAGGGCGGTAGACCAGCATCAATAAGGCTGTAACAATCAGGGTTTTCATTTTTATAAAAAGTAGTAGGAGGAAATTGAATTCTACCCGACTCAGTAATGCGCCGCAGAGTGGCACCGTGCAGCAAAGGCGCACGTGGGGGAGGGTACGGGAGAGGGTGTCCCACTCTTGTTAGGGGGGGGTCCGGGGGGACCTCCCCGGGGAAATTTTGAAAATTTGAACGTCCAGTGATGTATTCTGGTGCATTTTCAGGGCTCAAAACATGATTTTTAACAGGTCAAAATCGATATCATTATAACAAAGTTTCATCAAAAAATTCCGTTGATTTTTTTTCTTCAACTTTCTTCAATCATTTACGTTTTATTTTGTTTAAGCCATGACAGATAGTATCAGCGTAGTGTTTCACTATTTGAATTAATGATCTGAAATTTTGGCTCAAAAGTGCCCGATGCGAACACAGCAAGTAGCCGGCACATGGCGTCGGGAGTCGGCAAGTTTTGAAAATCCTGAACAATACATTGAACTATCGATTAATTGCGATATTAATGCTGCGATAGCGTAGCGAACTATTGATAGTTTCAATAGTTTTATTCTTCTAACATAATTTTCTAACTTCTTTGGAAAATAAAGACACCCTTTTTTGCCCATCTTTGATACCTAAGGTCACAATAACGATAAACAAGAAACTAAAAACAATCTACAGCCCTACTGCACCTATAATGAACCAAGTCTATAATGTTTTAGCCTCTTGATTCTTGAACCGCATAGTACCTGTATTGACTGACCACCACTTCATAGTTATTTCTTAAAGTATAAGGCATTTTGTATAAACAGATATTCCTGAAAACTGTCACAATGCTATTGCTATAGTACCTCCTCTAGCACAATACTATTGCAATATCCATGTGGCCTATTGCAATAGTTAAAATTTCCGCAATAGTCACCCCTAATCAAGGTGATCTTATTTAATTGCTATTTTTGTCATGTGTTTGGTTGTTAGGGACACAGCTGGCCAGGAAAGGTTTCGTACCATCACCACCGCCTACTACCGTGGGGCCATGGTAATTAAAAGATTGCTAGATTAATTTTGGAATACCTGGCTACTTATTAAATAATCCCTCAATGCCTTTTAGAACAAAGCATGTCATTACAGAAGTTGCCACTCATATTTTATGATTTAGAAATAAGTGGCTCGGTATTCTATATTCTTGCTGGGAGAGTTAACAGTCGTTTGAATACAAAGCCAGTTTGATACAAGTTGAAATGACCAATTTTGCTGGGAGAGCCAAAAGTTGGTGTGCAGTCAAACCGCTGCCTTTCCTCTTCAGGATTTTTATGGGTTTTGACACATGTTGCTCTGATACTAGGGATTTCCATGATAAGCGACAGATACAGTAGAACCCCGGTAACTGGAACTCTGAAGGGAAATGTTAAATATTTCGAGTTATCAAGGTAAATTTTGGTGAAATTGTGATCAAGGAAAAGGAAATTTAGTTTGAGTTAGCAGGGAATTTGAGTTATCCGAGTTTTGAGTTATCGAGGTTCTTCTGTGCTTAAAAGTATTGAAAGAAAACTGCATTACTTCCAATTGCCACCAAAATATCCAGTTTTAGCAGTTTCTCTCACTTCACACGCTTTGGGGAAGACAGCCACATGTTCTTCAAATACATGTACAATGACGTACTTTTCACTTGAGGTCAGCCTCTATGTTCGAAACCTTGTTTATACAAGTTACCCAAAGAGCAACCAAAATTTGTTATTGTGAAAGTTTGGTAATTAGAGTCCTAAATAACCCATAAGATACCTACAATGCACTTGAGCACCAGAACCCAGATTTTCAAAAGGTGGATAGCACTATCTTCCTGCAGTGAATAACTATTAGGAAAACTAATAATTACATTATTCACAGGATAGAGATTTGGTTATCCACCTTTTGAACTACTAGGGCCAGGGGCAAGTTGCAGGAGATGTTCTTCTGATAACATGGCTCTTAAGTATTGTTCTGGATTACAGTTCTTGTAATCTTAAGATGCTTTATGCAACCTACCTCTAGGCTATTAAACTGGTGGTGCATCATGTCCCTCCAGCAGGCTGATTTATTTTTATTTCTCTTCAACTAATTTTATGTCCATTCTTTTCCTGCTTGTTTATATTTTTGTCTCGGTTGTGATAATAAGTTAAATAACAGATACTTTCAGTGATCCGTCTAGAAACCAGTTGAAGTGTGTCCAGGGACTTGAGGACTGTGAGTTGCTGGCTAGTGTTTAAGAACCCTTTACCCTTGTTTGGTTAGAAGTCAAATATTGAGCTTTTACATAACGTATGATTTATTGTAATATCATTTAATCTCCCTCGTAAACACAAATTGTACGGAGAGGTAAAAAAAGACAAATTAAAGTTAAAGTATATAGGCTTTAAAGTAATATGATGTTTACTAAAATGTCGTTTACCGGTATTTTTGTTTCATTGTAGGGCATCATGCTTGTATATGACATCACAAATGACAAATCCTTTGAGAATATCAAAAACTGGATCAGAAATATTGAGGAGGTAAGTATGCGAAAATGCACAGTAATGGCTTTCCATCAAGTGGGTGAAACGCACAGTTATCGAACAGGTTACTAATGGCTTACTCACCCATTCAAACGGGGCTATAGATTGGCTGAACGGGTTATTAAGTTTTCCAAATGGTGAACACGAACAGGCAAATGGCTTACTCACCCCTTTTGAACAGGTCCATTGAGTGAACAGGTGATTAAGTATTCCAAACGGAACACAAACGGATGAATGGCTCATGAAATTTTCTAACAGGTTACCCAAATGACTGAACTGCTTAAGAAAATGGTTGGCATAAACCAGTTGGTTAATGGGTTTACCAGTGATTTCAAATTGCTCATAAAAAACAGTAGTGCCATGTCATCATTTCCAAACACATAGAAGACAAATCTGGTCTGATCCAGGTTGTGTTGACAACTGTTCTGATGAATTAACATAACAAGGAAGCAGTTAAAACGGTGAAAATCAGGGAAAACCAATAATAAGTTTGTTTGCATGTCCCAATCTTTGTAGTAATTATTGGCCAGTACTCATTCAGGTGTTTAAGGTTTTCTGAATTTGACAGTAACATTCTGTCAGACTGATCTCAGAAAAAGAAATTGTTAATGACCTTTTATTGTACTACAACTAAACAAAAGAAGAGCATACATGTATTTTTTAGCAGAGAAAAAAAATCATGAATACACATTATTTTATAGATACTTCCTTTGCCAAGCCAATTCATTGAGTGAATGAAGCACATAATTATTCTCTAAGTGTAAGAAAAGCAATCTGAACTTGGAACTTGGTTAATTGCTATTCTTTAAGCTGTACCACCTTGAAAAGCTACAGCTGAGTGCAAATTCTTTACCTTTCTCTTTTTTCTTTAGGGGGAAAAAAGAAACAGAATAAAAAGTAAAAAAGAACCATTCACATAAATTATTATTCATGGAACTGTATATAACAAATTTGTACATTTGTTTAGCATGCATCATCTGATGTTGAGAAAATGGTGTTGGGAAATAAGTGTGATATGGAGGATCGTAGATTAGTGTCTAAAGAAAGAGGAACACAGTTGGCTACAGAATATGGAATAAAGTTCATGGAGACCAGTGCTAAAGCTAGCATTAACGTGGAGGAGGTATGGATTGTCTTGTAAAGGCTTTGATTTGATTTACTGGATTTGGAGACAGCAATGCTACAGTCTTGTTGTATTGTTATCAACCATTCAGACACTCACAGTGCAATTTGGGGAGCTTAGGTCACTTATGACATGACTCCATAAAAAAGGGAACTTTGACAGCAAGTTATGATCAAATGATACTCATTAGCTAAATCTTGGACAGGATAAAATTGAAAACCATCTCCCACTCACTGGAAATGAAAAAATGGAACTCTAAAATTGTATGAAGGCCAACTCAGTGTGTCATTTCTCATCCTTGATTTTATGGAGCAAGGCCAGGTGTTAATTTTTTGTCAATTTTGCCAAATAGAACAACTACATTAGTACTAAATTGTAATGGTTGACAATCACATGCTCTGTTAGTTACACATCAAGGGTTTTGTTTGGAACCAGCAGAAGGTTTTGCTTTATATATTCCTTTTTAGATAATTATTACTTATTAATTTTACCATTAACCGATACTAACTGTAGAATTTTCTTAATTTTATTACACAGGCCTTTTTCACACTTGCGAGAGATATAAAACTTAAAATGGACAAGAAACTTGTAAGTCTGTAGCAAGATGGCTTTGCGTGAATTTGTCTTAAGAACAACACATTCATGTGCCTTATTTTTCTTCTTCAGGAACAATCCAGTCCTCAAGCTACATCAACAATCCATGTTACACAACAACCTAAGCAATCCAGAGGGTTTTTCCGCTGTACAATATTGTAGAGTGTTTAAATTTCTAAAAGCAAGGATATTCCTTTATGAGGAATTGATTGCAACATATGTAGTGGCCAGGTGGCTTTCTCCTCTGTATGAGTCAAGTTTTGGGCTTATAAGACTATCTTTTTTGGTTAAAAGGTGGATGCTTATTAGAGTCACATTATTCTGGCTAGTGCATGATATCATCAGCAAGGATGTTCCTCAGAATGTTCATAAAAATGGCCCTTAGGGACCCTTTTATATCATTGCTTTTCGGTCACAAGTCCATCCATACACATTGTAGCCTGCTCCAATTTCTGTATCCTCTAATCATAGATGATCAGAAAATCAGAAAATTGACACTTACAAAAGACTCTTCTCTTTGATAATATTTTTCTGTATTAATTTTCCCTTACCACCTTTACTTCTCATACATTTGAGATAATTTTGTTCATGTTTTACACATGCCCCACATTTTTCGGATGAGTTGATCATAGGTTAAAGCCATTAAAATAATGTGTTATTGTGGCTGAGTAATGTTGAAGTGGCCTAGATTAGTCCAAAGTAATTATAGTCTTCATTTTTTCATCAATTATTGGGTGGACCATGAGAATCAAGGCCTTTACTGATTCAATCAAATAAATTTTATACACTTTGGTGAAGATTGGGGAAATTATAAAATGATAGAACATGGAGAAAATTTAACAAGCCCATCTTAACTTGACTCATTTACAGCAGAATCCTGCTCTCTCTTAATTTCAAAACACAGTTGGTCTCACATGGCAATGATTTGTCTAAGGGACTATTCACTGACACAGGAACATTTCCTCCTGTGTGACAACATTGAAATGTGGTTGCAGCTCTGGATATCATAAATTGCAACTGGTTTGATTGAGGCTGTGACCAAGGTTAGTCATGGAGACATGGAAAAGTAAGGCCTTAAAAGTTCCTAATCTGATGCAAAATTTTCTCTTTGATTGACAAAGATAATAGTACAAGTATAATACAAAATGGAAGGAGCATCTTAGAGTTTTAATTTGTGTTTTTGCTAAAGCAAAAGTGGATATGTAAGAGAAGCATAATTTTTTGGTACACATACAGTGTAGGGGGTTTGTCCCAGTGATTTTTTTCTGCAACACATTGCCCCTTGTGTATCAAACTCAAGGTAATGTGAGGAAATTGAGGTACACAGCATGCAAGTTTGAGATAGCAGAGTTTCTTGGAAACCTTATGATAGTTAATTCTACTTGTATCAAAACAAGTTCAGTTTTGTGTAGCACCCATGGAATGCCATTGCTGTGGATTGTAAGAAGCCTCTCTTGCAGACATTTTTTGGCTTTGTTCATCAATGAGAAAATTAATTTTTAGTTTCATGATGAGCCCAAACAACCTCATTCCTACATTTAAGGTCCTCTCCTACCTGTCCCAGTGGGTAGGAGAGGGCGGTGAGAGTGAGCTCTTGGAGCCAAAATCTCTTTGCACAGTGAGGGGGCTAGATTTTGAGTGTTAAAATTATTATAATATTGTGGGATTTCAAACCCACCTGAGAGAGATTGTACAGTAGTCATACATGTAGAAGGGGAGGATTTATTCAGTAGACTAGTTTAGGAGAAGGAACCATACTTGTATGATTTGGGAATTTTATCTTCTGTGTGTCAGACCAGTCCCAGAGGTCTAGTGATCTTATCTTTTAGGTATTGTAGTGAAAACATGGCTTTTGTTCGGCTCTTTTTGTTAAGAACTGAGTAGACCTTAGTCTTCTTCGCAGCCATTCTCTGTGTCGTCATGCAATTTGTGGGTGGGAGAGTTGTGTAGGAACGCAAAAATAGCTGCAAAGGAGACTAAGTGGACCTATCCAGGATTAAAGATTGTTTTACTTTGTATAAAAACATACAGTACCCTTTAGCATTTGAATTAACCTTAAATAAAAGATTTTTATAATTAATTTAACTTGGTGAGCAGTTCGTTTATTTATGTAAATCAAAACAAACAAAATAGAACATGTGTAATTCTCCTGTTATGGCTGTTTGAACTTCCTCCTTTTGCTTATGTTTAAAACTTCAAAACTTCCTTGTGTTCTTTCCTGTTATTGATACTTCAGTTACCACGCTTTTCACTACAAAGCCATTCTGCTGCACTCTGGTTTCATTTATTCCATACATTGGATATGTGTGATAATATACCAGAAGCTCAATTTGCTTAACATGCAAACATTTTTTTTACTTAGTAGAAGCTGCAATGTAGTGTAGTTTGGGAATGTCTTTTCCGAGAGTAACACAGGGTACTCAGAAAAAAAAAAATCTGAGTTCTCCCACTTGGGAGAGCTTCTGGCTGAAATAACTGAATCAAGTTTCGTGTGTCACATCGATCTCATTTGCTCACCAGGCTTAGTTTTGCCATGACAATTATATCAAGCAACCGTTTGTAAGCAAAAACACTGTGCAGTGGAAGGGCCTTTGTTGCAAAGTGACTAGACACCTGGCTTCACTGATTTTGCTCACCAAGTACTTTCCCTTCTTTGGGGGCTATTTCATTAAGTGCCTCACTGCTATAGAGAAACAATTACCTTTTTTCTTTTCATTTGGAAAACAAATTATTATTATTATTACCTTACGAATTGTCTTATATAGCAAATTATCTTACTATTCTGATAAATGTATCAAGCCAGGGTTATTAATTTGTAGTGACGTGTGGTTTCCCTGTTAGAAGAAGTCTGTATCTACAGAGAAGGCTTCTCTCTAACTGGCTTGTATTTCAAAAAAAAAACCCAGAAGTCCTTTATGACAAAAATATTTTATGTGCAGAATATTATAAGAACACCCTTAATTTTTTTTTTTGTAGTCTTGTTTATAGAATGCCAGTTCCAAGATCTATTTTCATTGAACTCTGATTAACTTTGAATAATATATTTTATTGTCCAAGGTGAGAGTTTTTGTTGTTGGATATGATGTTCAAGACAAAATAAGGAGAGATTCTGTTGTATTTCATTAATCAACTCGAAAAAAATTATTCTGGCCGAAATTACACGTTTTTGAGAAATGCAAAGGAAAGGAGACGCGAGTATTTTTTCTCGCGGCTTGCTTCGCTCTCTACTGAAAATGGAGAGCTTGCTCGGCAGGCTAAGAAATACATTTATTTGAATAATGGAAATAAACTATATAAAGCTGATTGTTTCTTAAAGAAGTAAAGTTTGTGTACATTGTTTGTTTTCCTGAAGCAAAACGGGAGTGCTCGTCAAGCAGGTGCAAACGAAAACATGGTCCAATCTATTGACTTCTAGCGTTTTTCTAGCCTGCACACAGCCGTTGGTTTATTTTTCTTTTCGCTCTGTTCGAAAACATAGGCGAGCGCGGAGCGCGAGAAAGAACGACCCTTAGGGCTTGCGGTCACTAAATCCCTCGCGGTTTTTCATTTTTTATCACGCGCGCTTGACAGACTGATGACGAGAAAATAGAGGGTCTGTAAACAGGCAAGCGTTTTTCTGAGGGGAGGGGGCGGCCGTACACAGGCTGCTTCTAGCGCCCACTAAGGTTATGCATACATTGAATGCAGGAGCGTGGTAAAGGGAAGAACTAGAAAGGAATGCAAAGCGCAGAAAACGTTCATTTATTTTGTGGAGATTAGACACATTTTTCTAGATTTTAGCCTCGTTTTGCAGGTGTAGCTGAGGGTGGTTTTGATTTATAGAGTAAAGGTTCACAACTGCACAGCTGTAACTTGAACCCAGCGAATTTGTCCGGCTTTTGGCGTTGCCCTACTGTAAGAAAGTGTAAGTACCACAGATTGCCTTGTTTCAGATTGCAAGATATCAGGCCATTTCCGAGTTTCAAAAACTCTTAATTTTAAAACGAGGCTATGCAAAACCTTCTATTGCATGAATCTTTGCACTTAGCCTCGCTTTGAAACAGAGGCTTAGGGCGTCTCGGAAGGTCTGACGAAGGTCTGACGTGGGAACGCACAAAATCGGACGTGAAAATAAAAATATCCGGCCGGCAAGCGTGTGCGAGTGAAGCAAATGAAGCTCTCGTACACAGGTCCACAGCTATGAATGCTCGGGTGTTTGAAACAATAAAGGCAAGAAGCTCTGTCATGTATGCACACTTTTTAATCTTACTTTTAAATAATCATCAGAACTGAATACTCATTTGCAAAAATTTTCAAAGTACCTAGAGCACTTACCCGCGCGGATAGATGGATGTGGGCAACCATTCGCAAAGACATCCGTCAATCATTATTCCGCCCTTCTTGAGGGTGGCACATGTGGCTCAGCGGTCACATGATCACTGTTATGGTAAAGAAGATCCAAGATGGCTGCATGTAGGACCTGTCGAACGGGGAGGAATCAGTCGCCTTGTACGCGATATTCCTTCCGAAGGTTGGTGAAATCACTTTCTAATTGAGGATTACTACATAGGTTACTCTTTTAGTTGTTTTCTTCGTCAAAGTAAGAGCATTTGATTCTCACAAAAGGAGCGACAATATAAGACTTAATATAAGCCTATTTTTCCATCTTTCGGCAACAACAAAATTACCGACGTTCACTGGAAATACATGTCGGCGAAGAGCTTTTTCTTGGCTAATCTTTCGTCAGTTTGCCATCGTCTAGAAATTCAGTTATTCTGGTGAGAGTTTTCTCAAACAATTCCTTCTTAATAGAGTTAATCTTGATGGGACAAGTTTGCTTAATATTAATAATTGCTAAAAAAGTGCTTTGTGCCACACGGCGTTTTGACAATGTCTGCACTAACTGGTATGTGTCTGGAACGTTTTGTCTTTGGCCATTGTTTTCTGAAAAGATTATAAGATTACAAAGTCAACTGGCATCGTTGACAATATGATTTTAAAGCTTCTTGTTTCATTTGAGCGCTTTCAAACAGTGAGGTTAGAGAACATGTATCTTTAGCTTGTGTCGGAGCGGTGACATGTAGTTAGCTCGTTCAAAGACACAATTATTATTACCTATTTTAATTACACTCTCCAAACTTTTAAACTCCAATTATTTGTTTTTTCTTGCGTTTAATTGCAGATCAATTGTTGGCTTAAGGTCAAAAATTGTGTTTATATTTATTGCAACAAAAAGACTATATTCACTTCTGTGACAACGTTAGAAAAATCACTTCTATTAATACTCATCAAATCTTTTGTTTTTCTTTAACCAGGAAGTTCCGGAACCTAATAAAAACAAGATGATGATTTTATATACTTCATCCCTGAGATGCAAACTCATCTGTAGTGGCCTTCCTTGCCTCAAATTCTGTGAAATTCGTTGTTCATACCCAAGCTTGACTGAAAAGGCTTTTTTTAGTTAGTTGTCTTCTGGTAAGCCAATATTTAATATCTGTCACTACCTTTCGATGTCTATTATAATATGATTAAAGCGGGGTCAGAGTGAAAGAAGGCTTTGTTTTATACATAGCTGAAGGCAGTGGGGCAACTTTCCTTTTCTCTTCACAGGGCTAAAAAACTTGAATTTCAGCTTGTCATTTGAGCAAGCAGCTCTTACATTTTTCTTGCCCAGGGCCACTTCTTCCTCGTCGTATTTAACCCTTTGAATGCCAACCCAAACACACCTTAGCAACCGGCAACCATATTTGATTTTTTCACAAAAATGTATTTTTGGCAATGTAAGAACTTTAACACTTTATAACTTTGTTTAGTTGTATATGTTGCCTTAAACTAGTAAATACAGTAAAAATGTAAGTGATCTGGCAAGGTACTCACAACTATATCATGTCAGCTACTTTAAATACGTCACAACACAACATCAACTTGTGATGTATAACTGTTGATAACTTCCTTAAATAACATTCAGGTCAGCACTTAACATTATTCCTTCTCAGACCCTTTCAAACAACCACGGACAAAAACGCGGAGCAACCGAAACGTCCTCAGTAGCAGAAACATACCTTTGAGGACATATATGATATATATGCGTCCTTGTCATTCAAAGGGTTAATGATTAGGTTAGAAGATGACATGCTTGGGCCCTTGCCCTTTGGGCATGTGAATTTTAAAAGTAACATGCCCAGCAAGAAAATCTACTTGTCCCTGATGACTGGACAGGACTTATTTTCAGCCCTGTCTACATGCTTATTTGAGGGAGGGTGCTTTTTGAAGAAAAAAAAGTGCAGTATGCAACTTTGTTATCAGGCAAGGGGGACGTTAATATCAATGCAGAATAAGGAGTGAATTTTTTATTGTTGAGAATGTTAATAATCTCAAAATTATAACTTTTTCCATATGATACTATTTTATTAAGCTCCTGTTTTGTCTTTTTATTCTTCAGGAAAAATTGGTGACTGGAGTTTCAGGCCCAAATTAATGTTCTCAAAGCGTTTTTGTATTATTAGAATTTGTTGTTTAGAGAAGCCGTTTTAAAAAGAGATATCAAAAGATTTGTATTGTTTTTCATTTTGCAAACTGTATTAAATATTTCTGGAGATGGCAACAGATACTTGGAAGGTAAGCTTCAAGTTACCTGTACATGGTGATTTCATAAAGATCATGGAAAATAACTACCATATGCATTTTGTTTACTGTAGGTAAATGACATCAATTAGTCAATCAATCATCTTTATTTTAACACAACATTTTGTGAGCCTAAAATAGACACATACAAATACACGTATGTATCAGTATCTACCACAGAGAAATTAATAAAATTTAAAAACTTCAGAATATTGAAAACAGACAAGGGGACAGAGATAATTTAAAGAATTATTGTCCTTTGGTCCAGCTGTACTGACATTATTTTTAGTAGCTCAGAACAGGCCTATTTTCACCAGCATTAAACTTTCCCTCAAGAAAGGTTTCTTGCCCTTTGGGCAACTTGTAATAAAAAACATTCTTGCCCTGCAGACTGCCTATCTGGGGTTATTTGAAACTACTTTTGGTGGTACATTTATCTCTACCTCACAATGGCCACTTTTTTCGGCAGACAGTCCATTTGTTGACTCTTATTTAAGCCTTCAAGTCCCAGTAGTGACCAACATCAATTTTCTCCTAACGATATCCACACGATGTCAAGAGATTAGGTTATGAGAATTAATTAAATGATCACCAAAGAGAAAATGCTTTGATCTTTTCTCAAATTCTCTCAACTTATTCTTTAAAGAAATGTATAGAGATCAGTTTGGAGAATTTGCTAGTGGATATTGGGGCTTAAAGGGTTAAACCTCTCTACAATGGCCAGTTTCTTCTGTTCTCAAGGTGGCTGTTGTTGAGAGGTTGATATGTTTGATTAGAGCAAAATCCACATCTTAAGAAACATGATGACTATATTGATATTTTCCAAATTACGTCTGCTCTGAAAACTTGTAAATAGAACTGACGTTAGTTGCTTCATTCAAACTTGCTGAAACTGAACTTGTAATGTATCTTCACTTATGCAAATTACCAAATTTCTCTAAGTAATTAAGTCTCCTTTAGTAAATTTTTAGTAAATTTATATTGATTATTCTCATTGTAATTTACATTTGTGTCTCTGTGTGTGTGTGGCTGTTTGGCCCAGATTAGCAAATGTTACTTGCGGACCAGTCTCTTTGTCTTGTATATTTGTAATTATTAATTATTTATTCCAATAAGGTTGAGAAGTTGAAGTTTAAGAGTTTCAACACTCATCCTAGCCCAGTGTAATTTTCTGAAGCTTGACAACAAAATTATTTAGATCGGGAACCTCCCAAACTTAAAAGGGTTGTTAGCTTCAGGTTAGCATCCTGAATAAGAGTAGATATATGTACTGTTGTTGCAGGGTTCTGATCGTCGAGATCGCACAAGGACAAGTCCATATGACTTAAGTGGGCGTGATTATTACATTGGCAATCATAACAGAGGGAGAGCATTTTCCTATGATGGAAATTCTTTCTCCAGTCATTCTGGGTAAGTTTTTATCCTAGATGTATGCCTAAGCTGAAAACACTGTACATTATGCAGATTTTTTTTTTGGTGGAAGCGGGGGGGGGGGTGGGGGAGGGGGTTAGCTTTTTTGAAACAATGTTTTGCTCTTAAATTTTTCTGTAGGTTTTATAATTGTTATATCATTGTTAGGATTCAAGCATGCAAGAGGTTCTGATACATCTTCATGTAGATTCCCCCTATGTGTTTTTCCTATATCTACAGAACATTTATATACTTGTACAGTATACATAATAATGTGCATAGTGTGATTAAATACAGTTTAAAAGAGTTAACCACAAGTAGCTTTAGTCTAGTGCCATGATTTCATGTGCCCTTAGACCAAAGTGTACTGTAGCATTTAGCAACTTTCAGTGTGTGTTTCATGACCGTTAGTATTTTTTCCCATGAGTGTGCTTGCAGGGCTCTTCTTGTCATAGACAGTCATCCTCTTTCTTCCTTCACTATTACCACTGTTTATGAGTGTGATGGGTGCTTGCTAGTGCTGCCCCGATGGTAGTCTTCATCTAGAAGCTGGCTACTAGTAGTACAAATTTCTGGATGTCTCAGGCATCCAACCTCTGTTTTTCTAAGCAGATGTTATCGTCAAAATTTACTTTGTGTGTTACTTTTGCCCTCAGATCCAGAGAAACTGGTGTAGTAGAGAAACTCTTGGTAAGAAAAGTCACCACATGTACATTTTTGATAACTTTGTCAGATAACTAAGTATTCTCTTGCATACTATGTACATGTACTCATGTTTTAGTTTGCCATTGATTCAATGTTTGAAACAAGAAAGGAATAAAAATAATTTAAATGTGGCTAAATGTACTTTAGGCAAAGTCAACCTCACAGCAATGCTGGTCAGCAGTTTTTCCAACAGTGTTGGGGGTGGCCAGCCCGATGCTTTTAGCAGGGGCACCTTGTGACTTGTATCAGCAATTGCTTGCTTGCAGTTCTTCGCAAAGTGTGTGCGCTAAAGCCTTGTAGCTTGCTTGCCAATTTTTGTGCAGTGTCTTTTTCCAGCCCTCCCTCCCTCTTTAGTTCAGGGTCAGGTAAGGGAAAAAAACTTATTGGTTGGTAAGGATTCCACTGACCAGATTGTGACGGTGCCTGGTGGGGGCCCCTCGCAGGGTTGCCATGGTTTATACCTCCTTCCTTGTGCTAGAGCATTGCCTGGCTCCGCCAACTTTGGAGGCACCAGTGCCCAAGCTCATCTGTTGGTGATAAGTTTAACCACAACATATGTTCACTGTACTTGTACAGTGGAGCCCTTTGTTATGTTGTTAAAATCAGTGTTGAAATTAAGTGTTAAGAAAATCACCAACATATTTTTAGGCTGCCAGCAAAATTGCTGGCTGTGAGAATTTGTGTGTGAGCTAATTGTCAGGTCAACAATGCCATGGATATTGGGAGTGTACATTTATTCAGAATCCTTTGCTTAGGGCTAGATTAAATTTAAAAAATTGCTTGCCCTTTAGCTGATGTTTGCTGCATGTGGCCCGAAACAGTTGCACAGAACTACCAATCCCCCTTATTATTAATTACTTTATTACACAAATGTTGCTTGCCCTTTGCCAAGCTTGTAATCAAAACATTCCAGTCTGACAGCTTGCTGCCCTTGCCCGGGGCTATTGGACAGCACTCTTGCATTGCACTGTACAATGTATATCGTAGTCCATTAACTAATTTTGTTGGTTCATTGTTGCAGCCCACATATGGCTTTATTCAGTGTTGTGAGAGAGACCTGCGGATTTTCTTCCATTATAGTCAAATTAATGAAGACCCTGAGGACCTGAATATTGGAGGTAAGGACATTTATGTTTTGTTTGCTTCACATAATAATGTAGTCTAGTCTTACCTGAACTTTTGAAAGGTTGTTTATATCTACATATATAGCATTGAAATAAATTCTTGTCTTCACCCTAAAACAGCCCATCAGTCAGGGCTGTAGCGCTTATACTGAGTGTAGGCTTCTCTGCACTTCCCTGTGGCTCTTTGGCTCTATTTTTTTCTTAAACTGGGGTTTTAATACTGTCTTTGAACTGAAAAAAATAATGATGAAAGAGTAGTTATGTACATTTGTAATGAGCCTTTTTCTGCTGTTTGACTTTGTTAGATGAAATGGAGTTTGAGATTTCTTCAGATCAAAGAACAGGCAAACCAATTGCCTGTCGTGTGGTGAGGCTTGAAGCTGGATCTGTGTCCTTCGAGGTATGTCATTGGTATCAACTAATAATTATTTACAGCACTTTTCCTTTAGTTAAAGCATGAATGAAAATATTTCACTCCCAAAAGTTCAGGAGTTCAAAAATTTTAGAAATGAATTTAATTTTATGTTGCATGCTGAAGAAAATGTCACTCTGTAGTATTTTCCCGATCTGATGCAAGGTTAGAAGTAAGAAATATTTTACATGTCTTCACTTTTGACTTTATAATTGACAGATTAAAAGAGTAATTTTTGAAATAAAATCATTATAGCTAACAACATTCTCTAGGAAATTGCCCATATCACCCCTTTTGGTCAGAATGTTTGGCATCTATTTTTGCTAGTTTTGTAATGCTCCACACAGCCTGCCAGCGGAGCCTTTCCTTCACTTGTTTGATTCCGGCCTACTCTTTGAAAGGCTGTGCGTGAATCAAGTAAAATCTTAGCTGAGTATGAGCTACTCATTGCTGGAATAAAGTTTTGAACCCAGGCCTGATATACAGCAGTGTGCTTGATAAAGCGAGCACAGTTATGACCATTGATTTAGCAATAACTGCTGTTGGCACTCGGAAAACCAGTTTTAATGAGAAAGAACAAGATTGACTAATCTAGAACCTCAGAATTCAAAGGTTTGATGCAATAGACCATTTTACAGTTGTGGCCATAGTATCCTAGCCTTTGACTGGACATGAGGCTAAGGTTGACCTTTTTTGAATCCAAACCTCTTTCTTTTTCTTATGGAAATTATTCATAGAAAATACTAGTCAGCATAAGAACAACCTTATTTAAATAATAGAGTGTGAGGGTTTGTATCAAAACAAGGTCAACTCCAACCTTTTTTTCACTTATAACTGTAAAATAGTTTATTTAGGGAGTGCCTCCTTTTCAGCTCCTTTGCTCAAAAAGTCAAAAGTAGGTTCTGCTCGCTTTGTGTACCACTCAATGTAATGGTTAATGGCTTTCATTTTCCTTTATATCCATTCATCATCATCATTGTTTGGATTTAGATTCGAAGTGAAGACAAAGTGGTTGGAATCATAGATGCTGAACCTAAACTATCATATAAGAACCATGTTAAATCTGTGAGTATGATATTATGTGATTATATAAATATTTTGCTTCACTATCACATAGTTGATATTAAGTGAATAAAAGACAATTTTTATTTTGCCATAAACTTTTACCTTTCTTGCTTGTGGAACATACTGTATTCTTTGTGTTTGTTTTTTTCTTTATTTGTTTCTTTTTATTACAGCCTTCAAACGGATTTATTGATCCTGAAATGGGTAGAGTCAGCTATGAGAGAAATGGGGTAAGTAGAATCACTAGGAACTTACATTTCTGTGTAAATCTGAAAATTGTATTTGGAATCACAGCAAACAGCTGCTTAATGGATTTGGCATCTTTCTGACCATCAGAAATTAGCACAATTTTTGTTAGATAAGTTTTTTGAGACGTCCAGTAGCACAGTCTCCTCTGTATACATACACGCACACCTTATTCCAAAATGGCGGCAATACTACTTTCCTTTCATGGTTACGTTAATTAGCCCTCTTTGCCTTGATTGCACCTGCTGAATTCAAAATGTGTTTTACTTGGAAAGGATGCAATGTAACAAAAAAAAAAGAATACAATGTAACAAAGTTGACCACTGTATGCTCACAATGACACCATTTTGTGTCCTAAATTCAGATTGCTTCTCAAAGTATATGATACCAACTACTTAGGAACAATAAAAATGTACATTGTATTGCAATGCTGTCAAATTCACTGATTGTTGGTAGTGCTACAAAGGCTTTATTTTGTTTATCACGATGTTGATTGCAAGTCATTTAAAGTTCAATTTTCTTTTTCCAGGAATATTTCTATCTATCATTCTCCCCAAGTGATGTTTGTACTTCTGGTACTCCCCTGCACAAGGGAGATAAAGTTGAATTTTATGTAGCTACAGACAAGAGGTAATGATAAAATTGGTTTTGTCAGGTTTTGTCAGGTTTTGTCAAGTGATAAGTTCTTTTCATGAGAACCATAGAGATTGCATGGGGACCAGTATGTGAGAAATGTGAGAGTTGAAAGGGTTAAACGTTAAGCTTGACTCTGTACCTTTAGCCTGCATCGCAGATGTAGTCTGTGCAGGCTTGTGTACCATCTGCCCACCAAAAGTTTGTTCATGCAGCTCAAACAAAACTGAACTATACTCATACTCTTACAGTTGTATTTAAAAGCTTTCTGTGCTGGAATGTTCTTCATTTCTTTCTTTTCTTTCATCTTTGTTTGCTTACAAATAATTTTCCTGAAACCCTAGGATAGGATGCACATCTACTGTAGGCAAAAATGCGTCTTGAAAATACATCAGTGAAGCAACTTTAGATTTTTTAAAACAATGCTGTAAATACTTGCAGTAGATATTTGTTGTTTTTGAAAATGGTATCTGATTGAGGAGTACTCTAACATTTTCTGTGTTTAATAGAACAGGGGTTGTCAGAGCTCGTGAGTTAGCCCTTTTGGAAGCAGCAGAAACTGAAAAGTGCCAGGTAAACAAAGAAAAATAATAATAAATGATACAAGTAACATGTGAGTAGAGTGCCACAAAATATACTGTACATGCACAGACCAGTACATTTGTATGACTCAGGGTCGGCAAAAAACCCTGTCTGGTAGTCCTGAACAAGTAGCAGAAATAAATTTACAAAAATGTAACTAATTTTTTTTAAAAGATACTTTATTTATTCAGTTCTAAAACTATATACATAATTATTATTCTAAAACACTAATAAAAGCTGACAAACACTAACACAAAACAAACAGTATACTCATAGAGAATGAAAATAAAACACTACATTCACTGTACAAACTAATTAACAAAAGTCTGTAGAGCCTGCTTAAAACCCTGAACAGCCCGGATACTTCTGTTAGCTAAAGGAAGAGTGTTCCATGGTGAGGGGCCAATGTAAGCAAAGGGCTTGTCCTTAAGGGTTGTGCACTTTGTTTTAGGGACTGGTATAAGATCTTAAATTGTAGGAACCACTCTCCATTCAGTACAACTTTGTGCATTTGTTGTTTGTAGATCTTTCATGATTATTAAAGCTGAAAAGTTTTTATGATGCACTAGGTTTTATGCTTCTTAGTGAGCTTAGGCCCAGTTCAGACGTTGCTCCACTCATGTGCCGAACCTAACTGATGAATTAAGTATGGCAAAAGAGCGGCGTCTGAATCAATTTGGTGCGGCAGTTTTAGTTTGGTGCGGCAAAAGCGTAAAGTCCGACAGAGTCTGTTGAACTTTTGTCAAACTTAACTTAGGCTCGACACACGGTGCGCCGTCTGAATCAGATGTTGCGCCAGTGTCACTCCAAAGACGAACTTATTCAATTAGGTTCGGCACATGAAAAGTGCGATGTCTGAACCAGGCCTTACTGTGCTTAACTTTAAAACTAATTTAAATTTTAAGCCTTACGTTAAAGTTGTAAACTTTAACTAATTAACGGGTGACATTCCTCAAATCTAGTTTTGTATGTGTGTGTATTCATCACTTAATAATAATAATAATAATAATAACTTTATTTAACGAGGGTAAAGACATTGATTACTGGTCACCCAGTAGTTTTCATAATGGCTCTCACTTGTGTTATCTTAAGTCCTGTCTCATTGATGTTTTTTTCTTTTTCAAGGGAGTTGTTTCATCAATGAAAGAGTCATTTGGATTCATTGAGAGGGCAGACAAAGTCAGTGAGGTGAGATTCTTGAAAGTCACAATCCAGTTTTCAATAAATACAGTTGAACTCCGCTGTACAGACACCTCATTATTATGGAGAGTTTTCCTTGTCCCTGGGGAAAAAGCTCTTACATTTTTTCTAAATTAAACCCGCTTAATATGGACACCCATTTATATGGACTTTAATAACATGATCTGCTTAATACGACACCCCGTTAATATGGAAACTTACTATGGAACCTTCAGTATCCATATTAATAAATGGGGTTTGTGTGTGCAGGATGTCTTAATGTAGTTAATTATTTTATTAGTTAGTCCACCTTATAAGAACAAAACAGGACTAATGTTTTTTTGTTTCTTGCAGATTTTTTTCCACTACAGTGAATTCAGTGGAAATGTTAATGAACTCATGTTGGGAGATGATGTTGAGTTTGGAATACAAACAAGAAATGTATGTGACAGAAACATACATGTATTAGAATTAATCTAATATATAGATTTAGCCAGGGCTAAAAGCGAAGCTCCCATTAATAAATTTATATTTTAAATCAAACAATAAACTTGTAATCCACAAATCAGTTAACTTAAGGGCACATTCATGTGACTTTTGAGGGAAAGGATAAGTTATTTTAGAGTGAAACATCTTGCATCGAGTTGATAGCCTTAATATATGTACACCCAAAAAATAGCAAACATCTTCTATCACATTCAAGAGCCATAATGGCTCTTGATCACAGTAGATTAGGCCTCGAAAACAAATTCTTGGAAAACAAATCAGGCCGCATTGTTTTGCGTTCGACAGGTTTACTTTACAAATCCTTGCCAACAAATCTGAGGGTGTGTAAACCAACCTTTTACACTTTTTATACATCACATCTGAGGTGAAACAGTACTTTTTATCATACAGACCTCGGACAGGATACGGCATTTCACAATTTTTCAATGTCCAGGACGATCAATCGTGGGCTTTTAGCGAAACCGTTAAAAAAATTTCCAAAATCACCCATACGGCCAGCCGGTTCTCATTTCTAGTGCGAGCTGTCAGTGTCGTCGAGTGTTTGAATGAACTTTAATGGAGATACGCTTCAACATAATAACGAATTTATTATCATCACTTTTTGTTATTTAATGGTTCCAGTTATAACGATGTGTAATGTTATAAAGCGTTTGATACGCGCGACATTTCTAAGTACTCCTGCAAGCGATGTTCATGAACGATGAAAACAAACCCCACGGACAAGCGATTAAAATTGCAAGAGAGACTACTAACAATCAATAAAAGAAATATAATTCGGTAAAACATTTACAGAGACAACAATTTTCATTCACGAAGACAAGTATTAACGTGTCTCTAAAAATCCTGAGTCTTTAAGCTTAAAGCTTAAGCTTAAGTTTATTTTGTTTTACTTTCAGCCGGCCTCCCGGTGTTTGTTTTGTTTTTCAAAGATGAACTCCTCGAAGCAAGAAAATCACTCAAAGTTTTATTTCTACAGCTAAATTTGTAACTAAATATTCTTCGGAACGTTTTTTTTTCTATTTGTCGTGAGAAAAAAAATCTGAAGGCCTTTTAAAGTTCTGTAAGCTTATATACTAGATCAGATCATTGACTCAAATCTTAACAAACGTGCAAAAACTTGCCGCATAAACTGTGCTCGACTTCATGAAATTAGATATAACAAAAACAAACATCAAATACAATAATTACTCAGGCTTACCATTCGAGATTCAGTTCCTGAAAGATATCAAGGAAGGCCATAGTTGCTTGAGACTTTTAAACCCTCTTACGCATTGAGCAAGGTGAAAGACGAAAACGATGCCATCCGAAATCGGATTACCCAATTTTAACAAGCGACGCATTTCTCAACCAAAAACCCAATAAACAAACCAGCCATGGATAACAGAAGACTCTTGATAGCAGCTGTATTTCATTTTGTACATCAAGTGGAAAAAGACAGTTAAAAACATCACAAGTTGACACAAAACTCTGTCAAAGTAAACAACTTTCAAGATGCTGCATAAATTTTCCGCATGAACTCACCTGTCAAATTTTGACCAATCAGAGTACAAAAAATTGGACGTGAGCGTGACCAACGTGACCATGGTAAGAAAAGGTCTTCCCCGCCTTTATTTTTTAAAAAAGTGGCTGAATTTTCGCGTCCGAGGTCAGTTTGAAATCAAAATCTTGACAGTCTTGGGGCCATAGTGACATAAACACAACATATTTCATATGAATCATTGGAAAAAATAGACTTGAGCCTGCGATCATTTGAAACTGGTAATTTGTCAGCGGATAACTTCAAAAAAGTACTCGACCTCGATGGGTCGACACTTGAGCCCGCGGTACGGTCAGGTGACACTTGTCAGCGGATATCCTGTTTTGACAGCTGTCAATTGATCACAACATTGATGTGCAATTAGTTTTCTCTTGGGCTCCCAAACTAGCAAGAAACTGTCAGAGAAAACATTGGTTTCCCTGTGGTGCGGACGGACGGTCGGGCGTACGGTCACGTGATTACCAAATTTTCTCGGATGGGTAGATTACCACATTTCCTTAGCTATGGAGCTCCGTCCACACGCGCGCGCTTCGCGCGCGGGTGGAGCTCCGCTAATAATTATCAAAGCAAGTTATCTCTTTATATTATACGTGTAAATAAAATGTGCTTAAGCAAAATTAATGCAATCGGTAATAAAACACAATATTCAATGAGGAGAACATTTCTATAAGAGCTGCAAATAATTTTTTTTCTTGAAAGGACATACATTGCAATTATGTCCTGCTAAGTCTGACACCATTTTTGTCAAGCAAAACAAAAATGTGGTTGATTCAATCAAGGAAGCCTTAAGCGTCCTAAATGAAAATATTGCATGGTAGGTGAAGGATTTGGAAGTAAACTGATTACTGCTGCCTATTCACTGCAACCAAAAATGATAATTCTTGGTGTTAGCTTTTTTTGGATCTCATGTCCAACTGCTGTTATGATTAACTTGTTTATGAGTCAGTTGTAGTCAATTATTGTCCAGTGATTATTTCATCTCTGTCTTTATGAATTGTGTTCATCATCATTATCTATTTATTTTTTGATCAATGACTTTACCACACACTTGTAAATAGTTAGGAGTTGTGGACAACGAAAGGTGAACATCAGTTGAATTACAGATTGTTTTATTTTACACTGTCCCCTAAAAATATCTATAAAAATTTAAAAAGTTGCTCTTGTCAAAAATAACGTTAACTGTCTTGCAGGGTAAGGAAGTTGCTGTACGTGTGGAAAAGTTACCTGAAGGCACAGTGAAATTTGAAGATGTCAGCAGTGTTAGATATCAGGGAACTGTGGACCGGCCCTTGAGTAAATCTGCCGCAAAGAGGCAGCATGATCCATTACATGGAAAAATTGTCTACACACTGCCTGATAATGAAGATATCGAGGAGGAGATTGTTTTCTCTGAGAGAGACTTGCAAGGAGACTTCTCCTTGAGGGCTGGAGACTTGGTGGAATTCAATATTGCAGTAGGTGGGTTATAAACTCCTGGGACCCATGTCTCAAAATAGTTATTTTAAGCAATGTTATCATTGCAGTTGTGGGTGATTAGCCATAGTTTGGGAAAATGTTGAATCTATACTTATGGTTTTGTTTTTTAGCTTCGCACTAGCCCTCCTTACCTCTTAAACGCCCATGGGTGGTATTTTTTTTTTAACATAATATGAAGTTGGTTTTTGCACATCAGACTCAATAGCTGCTGGATTAGTCTACAGTAACTGTTGTATCACTTTGTTGATTCATTAGTTTGTGGTTAAAAATGATACATTTTTTGCCAGTAAATGTCTTGCTATTGTACATTATGGGTTCTCTGACAATTTTTTTTTCTGTCTTATTATTTAGATCGCCGTGACTCACTTAAAAGAGCTGCAAATATCAGCTTGGTTGACGTAGCAGAAGCAGATGAAGGAGAAATTAGAGAAATGGTACTTACTTAAAAGTTAATTTAGTCCGTGATTATTAAATTTTCCATCGATTTACAGGTAATGGTCCAAGATTTCTTACTATTTCTATACTATTGACCACATGTTGGATGTGTGTATTCCTAGGGTGTTGTCGTGTCATTAAAGGAAGGATTTGGTTTTATAAAATGCTGTGACAGAGATGCTCGGATGTTCTTCCACTACAGTGAACTTCTTGACTCCGTAAGTGACAAGCTCTGATATTAATATTTTGCCACTGACTGTTGAATTGTAGTATAGATTTAGCCAAGGTTAAAGGCAAAGCCCCTGTAAATAAGTATATAATTTACTTCAAACAATAAACTTGTTATCATATTTGCAAAGAAATCCACCTGGAATTGAGCCTGCGATCAGCTGAAAACTAGTAACTTGTCGGCGGAGAACTTAAAAAAAAGCGTAACCTCGATGGGTCAACACTGGAGCCCGCAACATGGTCATGTGATACTGGTCAGAAGATACCGTGATTTGACAGCTGACAATTTATTGACCGCAACAAGGATGTGCAATATCATGTTGCAAGGTCCAACACTGGCTAGAAAGTGTGACATTTCACCTTGGTTTCCCTGTGGGCTGACAGATGGATGTACAGTCATGTGACTACCAAAATTTCTCAGATGGATAGATAACCAAATTTTCTTAGCTATGGGGCTCCTCTTGCATGCATGGCACTCTGCGATAACAAGCATTTAAGATATCGGTAATGAGTGTTGTGGGTTTGTATTTGTGGCTACAGGTAATTATAGGGCCTGGTATTTGCTTAATGGCTTTAACATTATTTTTCAAACCCAGACCAAGGTGTAAGTGTTTTTTTCTTTTGACAAGACATACACTGTATATTTAACCATGAGTCTATGTAATGTTTGTCTCTCCCATGGCCTACATTGTTGCCAGAATAGTAATTGTTTTCCCAAGAAAGTCTTCCTTATTTGAAATCGTTAAGATTTCTATATAATCTTACTGGTTGTTTTACATCAAATTCACAGATATTTTTGTTGTAAAGAAGGGTTTTATATGGCCAAGTTTAACAAAATGGCCTATTTTTATGCCTGGAGTCAGTGTTCAGTTATTTGCAGTAAAGTATAATTTAAAAATTGTAGGTTAAAAGTGAACGTCTTTGTATAAGATTTTTAAACTCTCTTGATAGGCACACCAGATTCAAGTTGGTGATGAAGTGGAATTTGCAATTTCAGAGGTTGGTTATGCATGTTTCTTAACATCTAGAGTTTTTCTTCTCTAGTGGCACAAACATGTGTATTTTAAAAGTGTTCCATTCATTTGATAACCATGATAACTTGAACAAGTGCCCAATTTATGAACCTACTTAGAGCATTTTGCCATGTTTGTTAGGACATGTCTGCTATTAAACGTCTGCATGCTATCAGAGTAAGAGTTGTACCCAAAGGGACCATTCAGATGGAGGTGAGTTGAAACAAAGTTGCATTTAAGATTGCTGCCAATACTGTAACATACCAAGACATGTACCCTTAAATTTGAATGAATTTAATTCAATATATTCTCTTACAGAGTGTATCATCCCAAATATATAAAGGTTATGTTGAACGAGAGCCATGTTATAGCAGCCGCAGTCCCAGAAAGGACAGCAATAGGTGAGTTATATTCTGTAGTACAGCTACAATCTTGCTCTACTAAATCAGACACATAACCACTTGAAAACGTACCCACTTGAACTAGCTTTAACCCCTCCTTAAAAATTCTGTCCCTTAACCACAATGACAGTGTCTCTCCTAATGCATTTCCCCTCAATTTGTTACCAAACAAAATCATTTTATTGACCAGTGTGGAGTAAATGCCACATTCAATGTCTCTGTCATCTTTTCTCCTTTCTTTTCCCTTCCTTTTCCATTATTTGAGGTTGTCTCCCTGTTTCGTTGGCTAAAGCCAAATAATTTAAATAATATGAGTCTTTGGCCTCAAAGTCAGTTGCTTGCATCAAAACACTGGTGCAAAAAAGTGATGTCAAATTGTTTTGTAGAAACAGTTGCTGCCATTTGAAATCAACAGCTTTGATTTGAGAGGGGCGACACAGTTTGGAGACATGGTAATAAGCTATGACTATTCACAAAATTATTGATAGTGATTTAGAGAAATATAAACGTGCAAAAACTAACTAGGTAATGTTCTGGCCCTGGTTGTTCAAACGTTGGATAGCACTATCCACCAGATAAATCACTGTCCAGCGGATAGCGTAATTGATTTCCGTAATACTTATCTGCTGGATACTGATTTATCCGGTGGATAGCGCTATCCAACGTTTGTACAACTGGAGCCAGATGTTCCGGTGACCTCATTATGCCATTAGCTAAAGAATTGGAAACTAAATTAATGAGAGTTCAAAGTGAGTGAAGTAGAGCTAGATAAAGACTTACGCATGGATTCCAATTCGATTGGCTTTGTAGTGGTTTAACAGCTGTACCTAAGGAATGCACTAAATTAATTTGAATGAAATGTTGTTTTTCTTAATGTTTCTAAGGTGGAGTTCAATCTGTCTCAAAGTCAAAGAACTGGTTTCAGGAAAGCTGTGAATGTGACTGTTGTGAAGAGAAACAGTGAAGTAAGACACAAGGTAAGATAATAATATTTTATCAACAGAGGTAAAATGTGTCTTACTTGTAGTTACTGTAATTTAGCTTGTTATGTTTATGAGAACACGTCCATTTATAATCAAGTTAATGGGTCCCAATTTCCTGAGAGTGACCTACTCCAATCTTGTCCAAAACAATTATTTTAACCATACACCCTCAAGAAAGGTTGCGAGTTTTGATGAAGTAATCACCAAAGGAAAAATGCTTTGATCCTTCTCAAATTCTATCAATTATTGCTTTAAGGAATAAAATTGTGAGATCAGTCTGGAGAATCTGCATATTATGGATACTGGGGCTTGAAGGGTTATATTTTCACTGAAGAAAAACCCCAGTATTACATGAATTTTCTTTTTTTCCTACCAACCAGCTACTGTAATTTAACAGAGAAGTCATGTTCTTTTGATAGACCCTTCCACACGATGATTGTGAACATGATTGTGGCTAACAAATCCTACTCAAAAGTTTTTGTTGTTAGAGTTTTGGGGCCATGTGTTTCATTAACATTAACAGAGTTGATTTGTCAATCATGTCAATTAACTGCTAGACAACGTTAATTTTTTAAGGGATTTGTTGCTACACTAAAGGAAAACTTTGGCTTTTTGGAAACATCAGAACATGACAAGGAAGTGTTTTTTCACTACAGGTATGTATCAGATGTGCACTAAAAATAAATAGATAATTTAATCGATTAATAAATGAAACCAAAACTACTTTGTAAATCAATAAATTAAACAATATTTAGCATATCAACGTGCCTTAGAATTATTCTACTGTCTTGTAAGCCGTAATTTGTTCAACAGCTGCAGTCAACCTCTAAGCAACCCCCAAAATGCAAATCTTTGAGGTTTTAGGGAGTGGTCTGGACACGTCCACTGTTTGGAAGAAAGTTTATTGCAAACAAATTATTTCTAATTGACAGTAAGTTATGTGTTGTTTCATGTTGTCACTATAAGTTTTTTAACTGGCCAGCCGGGTCTGACTTTTGGTAACTGCCTTAAAATAGACTCATTAAATAATTCAATAGACCCTTTCACGGTTTTTTCAACTTTTGACACGGACAAAAATGAGTGAAATTGCTAAGTTGAGGGTTGTCGCTAAGATTTCAAGTTGCCGGGTAAATACAGCAAGTAGGCGGGGAATCAAACGGCTAGGGATTTCTTTTGGTTCTATTTTTGTTCTATTTTCCAATAAAAGTAGCCGGGGGCCACTCTCTTAGTAGCCGGGGAAAATCTACGGCCCCCGGCTCTTAATGACAACCCTGCTAAGTTTGAAAGTGATATGTCTCAAACGAGCGAAGATATTATATAGCTTTGAGAAAATTTACCGACATTTAAATGGTGGGCAAGTTTGTGCCCCCCACCACACAAACGTCTGTAAAATTTTGCGACTTTGAGAAGCTATATCTTTGTTAGTTTCGAACAAATCATCTTCAAACTTGGTAATTTTATTAATTTAATCTGCGCTCTTTACAGTGGAGTTGACAGATTTTCACTAACTCATCCATGTCAAAGGCTGAAAAAAAAAAACCGTGGGAAGGTCTAAAGCTCTTGAGAAATCTCCACAGTCAAATTTCCACCTCCATTACAGTGAATATGATGGTGATCCAAACGAGCTTATACTTGGTGATGAGATGGAATATACAATCAAATGTAAAAATAGCAAAGTCAGTGCAGAAAGGGTTGTTAAGCTGCCGCAGGGGACAATTGTTCGGGAGGATATTCTACCAGAAGTTTACATTGGACGAGTGCTCAGGTCTCTAAGGAGGGCTGATCCACAGGTGAGTGAAGTGCTTTTCTAAGCCTTTTAGTGGCATAGCCTCGGTCGTTGGAACGTTGGATAAATTTCTATCCCACAGATAAGTGTCAGGAAAACCACTTGCGCTATCCAGTAGATAGCATTATCCACCTTTCTAACATCTGGTCCATGAACTTCAGCTTATGACAAAAGAAAGCTACTGAGACTTGTCTGCATAACTGTAAACAGTAAATATGTGTATTTGTTGTTCTTCGAAGGCAACAAAAAGGAAAACGTAGGCAGCTGTGTGCACTATGTACAGATGTAGGGCATCAGTTTTACACAAGTTAACTTTGAACAGAAAAGACAATTTAGGACAGACTTGACTTTAAAACTTCTTAGCAAGAAAATGAAATTGAATATGGGGCAGTGTATGAGTACGATGCAGTTTACCCTTGTTTTTGGGAGACCATTTTTTACAAATCAAGTCAATAAATTTGGTGACAAATGACTCAAATTGGGGGGTTGTGACTCAAATTGGAAATAGACTTAATAGGGATAATGGTTTAGGATATAGGAAGTCGTGGAATGTCAGACTGAAGCTCGTAGAGTTAGCATAGCAGTCCAATCAAAACTGAAGGCATTCAAATTTTTATTATTGAACTTGTACTGTGCAAGTCCAGTTTATTACATACTTGTATATTACTTTTGCAGCAAATAGAGTATGCTGGGTTGATTGAGCGCATCACATGTGAAGGTCCAGACAGTGAGGAGGAGAATGGTGTGGAAACAGAGAAGGATGATGAATTGTCATTTTCTGTTCAGTATGGCATCACAAGTTTAGTGGATAAAAAGACAGTCCTGCAGCCAGGCGATAAGGTAGGCATATTAATCACATCACCTCTATTTATGTGAACTTTAGTTTTGTATTCCTGGCTGTATATCGTGCCAGTTCTATTATAGTCGAGTTCATGTCAAATTGAGAGGGTAAAACATCTTTTAGACATAAACGCTTTTTTAGACGCTATTAATGCACTAGTTTTTAGCAAACTCTACTACTGTTCTTCCGTTTGGTCTAAACTCTACTTCGCTGCTAGGGTCATAACCTGTCCGTGAAAATTTGATCAAGTCACTTCTGTTCTTAGAGAACTAAAATGTCTACCTGTCACATCCATGCTTGTCTACAGGGATGGCATACTAGCTTTCAAGTGCTTAAGGAGATTGGCTCCAGCCTATCTGGCTAAAAAATGTAAAACGAGGTCTGAAATTCACAACAGAGACATGCGCGACAAGAATAAGATTGACTTTTCAGGGTACAGAACTGCCGCAGACCAAAGGACCTTTCATTATCGGCCCGTTTCACTGTGGAAAGCCTTACCTGAAAGGCTCACTAAGTTAACAAACATTGTGACATTCAAGAAGGCACTTACGCGTTATTTAAAATCGTCTAAGTAAGCAGTCTATTTTTAAGACAGGGTTGCTTATATTACTTTTGTCTTTGTAACGGAGAGAATTAGAGGCTTTGTTACTGATAGCTTGTTAAAATCTTGGGAATGTGTAGTTTTATAGTTTTATTTTTTGTTTTATATTTTTATCTATATTTTTTTATTCGTGATATTGATGTGATTACGTATCAATTTAGCCTTCTGGGAAACTGCCTACCTACCCTTCCCCTAAGCTAACACTACCACTTACTTCTCACTTAAGGCAAAATGATGGCTTAGGGGAGGGGTAGGTGGGCAGTTTTCCAGAAACCCAAATTGATCCGTAATTACTTTGAAAAGCCCTATATGGGGAAATAAAGTTATTAAATATTAAGTAGATTGTTGTTAATTTTGGGGGCCGTTAAACGTTTTTATTTTGTCAATTGCTGCCCTCATTTCTGCTGCTGCTGCTACTGATGTCTAGTGTTGGACTCCTGTGTGATAAGTTAAGCTTGCTACAAACTGTCTCGGGAACATAAAGGCTGGTTTACTCTGACACCATGTAACATTCTAGTATTTGCTTGCACCGAGGGAATTAACGAATTAACGATAAAGGGGTGAAAGATAAACAGTTTGACCTCTACAAAGCATCCTTTTCTTAAGTGGCCACCCTGTATTAAGCAACAAGTTGACAGAACCCTGAACAAATTCTCAGTAAATCATGTAAACGGAAATGTTCACCTCTACTAAGCTGCCGTAGCCACCTTCCCGCCGTCGTAAGTTATTTCCTATTGTTTTATACCTCTATTAAAGGGGGTATGTCACGCAATTTGTTTCAAAAAGCTAAAACGTCTCTTTGCATCAATTGAAATCTAAAAATTGATATTCCTGTTTTGTCATTTAAGACTACACTCAGGCATTGAAACTGTTTACTGTCCACAGTTGCAAAGGATGGCAAGGATGGACATGGATTGAAACTTGAGAAAATGTTGAAATGCTGTTCCTGCCAAAATCACCAAAAAAGGCTATTACTGGCTCCGTAATAAAAGATGTTCCATCATCTTCATAACTCTTCAGGAGAATTTTTCTTTATGGGTAACAAGGCACCAAGTAATGGCTTAGCATAAAATTGACCAAAGAGATCAATATCTTCATGACAAAGCCCCTTTAAACAGCTATGAAGAGTTAACTTTGGCTTTTTTAGCAAGTTGAGCACAGAAATAACAGGTTAACTTTCTTTCCATTTAACATTACTTTAGGTCCGTTTTCAGCTGGGCGTGGATAAAATCACTGGGAAAGAGAGAGCCATGAAAATAGTCAGCGTACGTCAACGCGTGCGAGCACGTGTTGAGTCAGTCAAAGGCCAGGTTTGTTTTCCTTCAGCATTACTATTTACGAGTACATTATTTTGGAAAACATGAATTTGGTTTATCAACTTAGTAAGGCATTGCTAAGTGAAGTCTTCAAAACGTAGGTAATGAAAATAAAGTATTACTCGCGAGAATTTGCTTATGTTTTGTTTTTGTTTTGCTCAGTTCGGTTTCATTGCTTATGAAAACGAAGAAGGAAAGAATCTCTTCTTTCACATGAGTGAACTGGATGGTGATATGGAACTACAGGTAACCATATTTTGGTTTACGTAGTGTTGATTGTATTTTCTCTGTTCCTATCCATATTCCATGCTGTTTTATTGATGTTGCAGTTAGATATTTTATTATTTGGTGTATTTCATTAATTACTTCATTGTTTTAATTGTTACATCTAGGTTCTCGGCTTTTTGCCATACATCTTTTTAAGAGCTTAAACCAATGTTAAACAATTTTCTAAAATCATCCTTTTTTTCCCACTTCAGCCAGGAGACGAAGTTGAATTTGTCGTTGTCCAGAATCAGAAGACTCGTAAAATGAGTGCTTGTAGCCTGAGGAAAATGTGGTTAGTGCAAGATATATAATGGCTGTCCATCCTTTTACTTCTGTCCCTAGTCAAACATGGAGACACTTAAAATGTGTCAAATGTTTTGAGTTGAAAAAAATTCAAGAAAATCATCAGTAAAGTTTAATTGGAAGGCAAATGGTATCCAGGGTGCTAAAGATTTCATCTCCAACTCGAAAGTTAGAGCTATGGCCAGCGCTTCAGTAAGTTGGTACCCTCGGAAAGCAGAAAAGCGTCCTTCATTTAAGCTGCCCTCATGGAGAACTGTCTCACCACTGGTGAATTCATCCGTTACCAATTTGTTCAAACCGTTCCAGTAAGTGTTTGTTTCGTTTTTCTCGCAGCGAATCTCAGCGGCCTGAAAGGCTCATCCGCAGAACATATTCTGAAGCTACGGATAGTCCAGGACCCAGGTAAGAAAAACACGCAAGCGCGCCAGGAAGTTTGCCTGGACTTATCTCGTACCCAGATCTCTTTTCGACGAAGACTTACCCAGACGTCTTATCGGCGAGGATGCCGACAAGAGATCTGGGTTCGGGATTATGGCTGTGCATGGTCCCTGATGCACCTTTTTCACCAATAATAAATCTTAACGTGAGACATAACGGCTTAAGTCTTTCGATCAACCCAGTCAAACCTTTCCATTTTAATGTGAAGCTTTAGCAAGTACATCTAACGTTAGTTTTTATGTCGTAAGCTGTTAAGTTCCTGACATGGTTCGAACCAATGACAACCCAGAATACTCTTTGTCGGGCGCCCCTAACTTCCTCTAATGAATGCGGGAGCAACAGATTGATGTACGTGTTGTAAAGGACTAAATTCCTCTTGACAATCTGGAGAAAAGCGGGGGAAAAAACTAAATCTGTTGACATGATTTAGTCACGTGACTTTCTTTGGTGCATTGTTATTCCATTCTCCTAGGGGTTCTCTTTCCGCATTTGTTTCAAAGTTGAGCAAAATAATGTTGTCACACTTATTTGTAGTCTCATTAGCGAGACCGTAAGAGAAACTGCGGATGCCCTGTCTGTCTTAATTTTCAACATTTAAAAAAGTGTTGATAGTTTCAAGTGGTTCGGGGCGTAAACGCTAACGCTAGTGGTTTGCTAGCCTTGTACTCGGATTCTAGTTTCTTACTAGCATACTAGTTTTATTTTATTTCCGTTAGGTATTAACTTATTATGCATGTAAGTTTAAAATATGTTTCAGTTGTTATTTAAGTCAGTGTGAATTAAGATACTGATTAAGATACTCAAGATACTGATTCGATATTGATTCATTTTTGTTTCAACAGAGTGGAGGTGATTCGCCAGCCGACAGGACCAGACGGCACGAAAGGATTTACACAGGCACGAGTCCTCTTGTACAACTCCCGCACATCGGACAAGCTACAAAATGGGACATCAACTGAGGAGGGAAGCGCATTTGAGGACCTTGTGGCCCAAATATTTGATCAGGATTAGCAGAAAAGGAACTTAGCACGAACGTTATATATCCAGAAAAGGACTTCTGTAAAATAGAAAATTGCATGCGTTTGGATCGACTTTAGTGTTTCAGCCACAAAACAAACTCGTGTCAAGCAGTTGCTAGTATTTTAATGGTTAGGTCTTGCTACCAGTAGATGCAGCTTCGAATCAGTGGAGAAAAAGACTCATGGATGTGGTTAACAAAATAATGTTAACCGTTGAATACGTCGTAGGCTAGGTGGCGTATCATATTCTAACCACTAGCTTCTACTAGATTTCAGCATGTCACTAGATAGTTAAGACCCTACATTTACTCAATACGTTCCTTGTGTGAAAGAATTTTTTGTACTCGATATGATTGTTTTGCATGCTTTATGTTTATTTCGTTTATTTTTTTTTGATTTTTTTTTTCAATTCCTGCACGAAGCCACAACGAAAATAAGTAACCAGAGACGGAACCGTGGACCCACTCTTACCTTGGACGTGCAATTGTAAGATTACATTGCCGAAAGGATAAACAATTGAACATGGTATCTCAATTATCCACGCATCGCAAGGTAAACTCCCTTTACCTTGTTTTGTAAAATCACTGAAACAGAAGTAATACATAAATGACGTTGTAAATGAAATCATCAGTGATATTGCGATTGATTGTTTAAGGCGGTCTCAAATGGGACAGATTGGTTCAATAGGAACGGTGATGCTTTAGTATTTTGTAAAGGTTTGCGCACGAGTGAGAATAAGTAGAAATTGTATTAGGGTAGTTACTTAATTAGATAGTGAATGTCAATGAAGTCCCTTTATAAAGTAATAAACTACAAGAAGAATCGCGATTTAAGGTACAGCAGAGTTCGGTTGCTTTTAGGGAAGACTTCACGACCATTTATTGGCACCCAATAATTATGATCGTTCTATACCATAAAGGCACTATGTTTTTAAAGGGTATTCAAAAGTGATGTCTTGGTTCAATTTTATCCTTGTTTTAATGTTTATTTTCCTTTGTTTTGGGGTGATAATGAGTTTAGAACAAAGGAAAATAAGATTTAAACCAAGGACAAAATTTAACCACAACAGTGACATTTCGTCTTTGATTAGCTTCATAAAACCCCACATCTCAGCATTCTAGTTACAAGCCAAATGAAGCTCCAAGTTACAAATAGCCCAAATCCTCCCAGGTGCCCATAATCTGTCATACATTGCAGCAATCATTTCTGTTCTCCTTCAAATAAAATTCATTTCATAAAGTGAAAGATATTGCTCTTGGCCTCATTTTGAAAGTGAGGTTTTTTTGAAACTCGAAAATGTCGGCTTATTGGCTTGCTGGTTGTTTTTGTGTACCTCAATCCCATTTCACGGAATATTTTGGTGATTCCGTAACTCTAGTCAGTGAGCGCCCTCAAAAAAGAAAAATGTATTCACCATGCATAAGGTGTTAGTCAAATCCATCCTACTTATAAGAAAGGCTGTTTTGCATTTCCATGTAGTGCACACAGTGCACTACATGCATGCACCAAACATTACAACATGATTTTTAGCTCGTTAATTTATTTTATGGCACTTACTGCTCTCTTTTAAAATAAGGAATGGTTTTTGTGTCTTGCTAGACAATTCCTAATCTGAGTGTCAAACAAGGAATCGACGAGCTTGACATTAAAAGCCCAAGGGTGAAAAATACGGCAAGGATTTTCTTCCGCTGAATAATTCAAAAATTGCTTTAAGATTAGTTCAATTGAGCGGGATGAAAACTGTACAAAAGAGCTAATGACACATACCAGTTTTAAGGTTTTGAATTGAATTCGAATAAAAAAAAAGGCGATTTGAGTAACAAGGTACAAACAAAGAAATGAAAACGGCGAATCCCGACTGCTGGAAACGTGACTCGTGTTGTTTATTTAAGATCGAAAGCTAACTGCAATCATTGACAACAACCTTTTCTGATACGTAGAAAACTAGCGAGGCAAAATTCAATGAAAAACGGCAAAATTTAGATTCATACAGAAAAAATGGAGAACAGAAGTACAAACAGAGCAAAAATGTCCAATAAACGGTGCATAAAAGCAAGATTGCAGTACTTACAGGGCGGTTATAAAGCTAGAGAAGCGACATCACGAGCCACCTGTTTTGTTTTTAATACTTTAGCGGTTTTCCTGGCCTACTTGCTTGATTCTCCCTTCAGATTTTTTGTCTGAATAATAAAATTAACTTTTCCCTAGCTAATGCTACTAATAGCGCAAGTTTAGAAAGCAAAATGGTTTGAAAATGACGGTTTTTGCTCATTCACAAACAACAAACAAACTTGTGAATGAAGCTGCCAACGATTCCGCCAGGGTTAGCGGGCAAAATCGTAAAATACCGCCCGCTCTCGGAACCAATCAGATTGCAGGATTTGGAGGATTCTGCCCGCTCGCAAGCTTGGAAAAAAATAAAGTATGTTCTTGCCCATGCTAATGAGATTCCATCTCGAAAAAGAGTTCTAAGCGGTGCGCCCTGTACTACTTACAACTGGGTCCGCCGCTAGGTTACTGTCAACAGACCGAAGTCCAACAGGAAAAGTAAGTTGTCAACGGTTTGTAGAAGTCAGTTTGCCTGCTATGCGAAATTTCTCGTAACTCGTCACACATTACCCGCCAATATTTTACTGCGTGACGCGGCAAAACAAATGTCTTCGAAGGAAGCTTGAAGTCAGCGGCTTCACCTAGAAAAAAACTTTACAGACAAGTGGCCGGTATTCTCTTGACTTAAATAAAGGCAAAATAAGGTGACAGCTTTGATTTCTTGACGCCATTTTATTCTGACTTGCTCAAATTTCCTGTAGAAAAGATGAAAAACAATCGCTGTTAATTTATACCTCGAACCGTGTCCAACATGTTCCTATCCTTACCCTTATTAACCCTTAAAAACCCCTAAGATCAAAATTTGAATTCTCATTTGTTGCAACATCAAGAAAATTCATCTTGTGCGACCATGTCCCTAATTCTCATGACCACTCTGTTTTACAAAGCATTAATATTACAAGGAGAAATTTGATGCTGATCACTCTCAGGGGGTTAAAGGATTAATACCATACAGAATTCATAACGAACAGCAGTGTTAGAAGTTCTATACCAGGAAGTAAACTAGTGGAAACGTCTTGTGGATAAGGACGGAGATTTCTTCTAAAAGAATTTGTCAAGTAAACGTACCTTTTTATTTAGTTAGGGACTGCACATGTATTTGACTTCGATGTACTTGGATGACCAAACGGGACAAGGGTTTCCGTAAACGTCATTGGAAGCATGAAGCTCACAGGAGACTTTCCCATCACAAGCACGTTTTATCTGTAAAAATTGCAAATTGTACAGTGAAACTCCGCTTTATGGACATGCGCTTGATACGAACACCTCATTATTACGGACAGTTTGCTTTACCCCTGGGGAAAGAAAGCCCTTACATTTTCTCTAAATTTAACCCGCTTAATACGGACACCTCATTATTACGGACAGTTTGCTTTATCCCTGGGGAAAGAAAGCCCTTACATTTTCTCTAAATTCAACTTGCTTAATACGGACAGTTTGCTTTATCCCTGGGGAAAGAAAGCCCTTACATTTTCTCTAAACTCAACCTGCTTAATACGGGCACCTCATTATTACGGGCAGTTTGCTTTACCCCTGGGGAAAGAAAGCCCTTACATTTTCTCTAAATTTAACCCGCTTAATAGGGACACCCCGTTAATTATAATAAGGACACTTTTTATAGCCCCTCGGTGTCTGTATTAACGGGTTTGACGGTAATTTGTTTGCCTATGAAGCACTTAGGAGTTCTTAAGGTGGCTCCGTAATTAATACAAGAGCATTTAGCTGTGACAAATTTTCCGTCATAACTTTTTCGATTTTAACTCGGTGGCTGCGAAACTTTGCAAAGAACAACAGATATCATTCGGCAATAATACAAAATATTCCGATTTCATTGATGGTAAATATTTCTTGAGAAATTAGCGCTTTAAAGGACCCTACTGTTCAAAGAAAATTGCGTCTAGTAAAAAATTTTGCTGATATTTTTTACTGAAATTTGTGGTATCGGCTTCAATTGATATAATAAATATGCCAGAGGAATTTCAGAAAAATCGTTGGAGCAGAAGTCCGCAACTAAAAGTCGCTCAAAACTTAGCTGTGAAATTGTTTTGGAATTTCAAAAATAAATTACTATCAGGAAGAAGGGGACACCTCTTTCAATTTTCGGGACAAGTAAATTCAGTGTTTGCTAATTCTTAAAACAGAAGCCGATTGCCTCTCGTGCTATTCTTTAGAGGATATTTTTCAGTTTTAGAAGCACTATAAATTGCTCCAAACTTTGCTCTGACGTCGAATGACTTGTTCCTCGACATTTTTAAAATATCCCTTGGCAGTTTTGGTTCAAACTCCTGCTACATACATTTTGATGTATTGCAATGCATCCTCAACGGCTTTTCCTGCTGTACGTTGTTTCCAATTCAGGAAAAAGGTATTGGGATTGTAAGCTACCTTGTATCGAAGCTCAGACAGAACTGTCGAGCACCTTTGTTTATGACCAGAAAATGAGCACGGGCGGCAACTCTGCGAGGCAGGGCGGATAAATGTTGGGCGGTGAAACGAGCGCTCCGCTCTTCATTTAATGTGTGATGCGGAGTAGGACTGGCACGAGCGCTCTTTTCCTCGCTTCCGGTGCGCTTGAAGGCCGGCGAAATTTTCCTTTTTGCAAACCGGAAATCCTATTTTCTTTCTGTAATTTCAGGCTACAATGTTAAATAGATAAATTCGTTTCATAACAATATCAATAAACAGTTTCATATGTTTGTGTCTGTACGTCTATAAGTCAAACTTGTTGGTCGTATAATGCCAAAATTTGAGTTTTATTTGAAAGTGTTGAATACCTCCCCCTTCCACTAAATATAACCTAATGGTCTTTCACCGTTTCGTTTGCAAAAGCTTAACACTTCTTAACCTCAATTTTTACATATGTTAAAGAGGGATAAATTTTATATAACATAACAAAAAATTAGATTGATATATATTGATATAGTGGCGTTGTACTTCTTCAAACTTTGCTTCTCGGGTGCAACGCGCCATGTCGATTCGCGCAATGCGTTGCAAATCCGGCAACCGCATGTAAACAAAATTTATTGAGGTTAGTTGTAAGGTTTTTTCTCCGTTTTTCTCTCTAAAACAAAACAAGGTAAACAGTAAAAACTGAGGGGAAACTAATTTTGAAGTTTCGAAGAAACAGAAAGACGTATGAGATGTTTTTTTCAAAATTAAAAAGAAGGATGATGGTAATTGAAATTAGCATAATTTCACCTTGCACGAGCTGCACGCATTTATAAAATACACGTCATCTACTGCTGTCTTTTAGTTTTGCCATGGATGACATGGATGAGATTTTCCTTCGTGTTTTAGACAGTACTTAGTTGTTTTTGTTTTGGAATAACATCGACATTGGCGAGTAGCAGAACGAAAATATAATTCAGTGGTAGAGTCATGGAGGTAATAAGAAACTCTTTGAAAGAGATGTTTGTCTACTCCAACTAAAACTCCCGCAAAAATAGCAACATTTGCCTCTCGGAGACAGCGTACCAGCACAAAGGAAAGAGGAAGAAGTGCAAGAAAACAAATCAAGCTGCCATAATTCAGTGACAGCGGCAGTGTGTAATGTACAAACCATATCGAAGTCGAAAACAAGCGACATTTCTAAGCAGAGTCCCAGTCCACTGCATCACACCTTTTTACTCGGACGCGCTCGTTTCACCGCCCAACCTTTATCCGCCCTGCTGCGAGGAATTCGCACCTCAGCGAGGGGGGACGAATGACAATGATGCCCATGTCTGTGAACAGATCTGTATAAACATGTATTGCAGAGCAAAACATAATAATCAAGAAAAAAAATACCCATTCATTGAAGGAAGGAGTGACAAAACTTTCAGAGTTGTAAATTTATTCACGGGCAGTATTTTTGCGATAATTTTATTTTGCACTGTGATGTTATTCGATTCACAGGCATGGTCATCATTGTCGTTCTCCCCCCTGGGTGAGGTGCGAATTCCTCGCAGAGCTGCCGCTCGTGCTCATTTTGTAGTCATAAACAAAGGTGCTGGACAGTTCTATCTGAGCTCTGATACGAGGTAGCGTCCAATCTCAATACTTTTTTCCTGAGTTGGAAGCAACGAACAGCAGTAAATGTCCTTGAAAATGCATTGCAATACATCAAAATGTACGCAGCAGGCGTTTGAGCCAAAACTGCCGAGGGATATTTTAAAGCTGTCGAAGAACAAGTAATTCTACTTCAGAGCAGGTTTGGAGCGATTTATAGTGCTTCTAAAACTAAAAAGTACCTTTTAAAGAATAGCACGACAGGCAATCGGCTTTTGTTTTAAGAATTAGCAAACGTTGAATTTACATGTCTCGAAAATTCGAACTGGTGGCTCCTTCTACCTGATAGCAATTTATTTTTGAAATTCCAAAAAAATTTCACAGCTGAATTTTGAGCGACTTTTAGTTAAGGACTTCTGCTCCAACGATTTTTCTGAAATTCCTCTGGCATATTTATTATATCAATTGAAGCCGATACCACAAATTTCAGTAAAAAATATCAGCAAAAGTTTTTACTAGACGCGATTTTCTTTGAACAGTAGGGTCCTTTTAAGCGCTAATTTCTCAAGAAATATTTACTTTCAATGAAATCGGAATATTTTGTATTATTGCCGAATGATATCTGTTGTTCTTTGCAAAATTTCGCAGCCATCGCGTTAAAATCGAAAAAGTTACGACGGAAAATTTGTCATAGCAAAATGCTCTTGTATTAATTACGGAGCCACCTTAAGAATTCGTTAAAACGTGTTTGTGCGTTCCAGATCGAATTGGAATTTGGAAATGTCACATTTTCAGAGGGGAAAACCGGAATTCCCGGAGAAATACGTCAGGGAGCAAGGGAGAGATGTAACTACAAACTCAACCCAGATATGGTGTAGGGAATTTAAATCCTGGCTACATTGGTGGGAGGCGAGTGCTGTCACCATTGCTCCACCCTTCCTCGAGCTTCCACGTGATAGATAGAACAACATAGAAACTTTAGTTAATAGAGTGACTTTGATATGTGATCATTCGTTAAAAAAGTCACCCTGATTTGACTTTCGAGTTCCATGAGTAATACATGGTAAGGGAATACGTTTCTAAGCTGTTACCAGCTGAGATTCAAAATCGGACTCGAGCTCAAGCCCGTCGTTAGAGTTTCAAGGAAGTGTGACGTAAATATTTATGGTTTCTACGAACGTTTCAGTGGGTGGAGCTCTCTTAAATGTGAGAAAAGCCTTTAAAAAGGCAGTTTACAGAATGGGTACACTGATACATCAGCCTCCTGGTCCCATTTGGTCAAAAGGTGGACAGCGCTATCCATCGGATAAATCACTACCCAGTGGATAAGTATTAGGGAAACAAATTGTGCTTTCCACCCGATAGAGATTCATCCGATTCATCCGGTGGAATTAGCCTATCCACATTTTGAACAAATGGAGCCTGGTGATTATAGGAATAACAGTCTTTATACTACTACATGGGAAATTTCTACAATTTGATTGGCTTAGAGCTGTGGTATTTCAGCTTAATTTGAAATACCTACGTGTGAAAATTACAAACCTTTTGCGGGTAGTAGTATAAACAAATAATAGCACGATTTGCATGTGATATTTGGGATAAATACCACTCATGATATTTCAAACTTGTCTTAAATCTCACTCGCCCAACGGCTCGTGAAATTACGTATAGCAAGTTTGAAATATCACTCGAGGTAATAATGCCAAATATCACGACAAATCATACCATTACCTATACAAATACTTTGATTTCAGGTGAAGCTACTCTCTGACAGGTATTACAACTTACCAAAGTTGTGCATCGTTCAAACTCACTCTCTGCCAAACATTCCTTCACCGTAACTTTTCCGATGATTAGCCTATGCTTATTGTTTTTTTTTTTCAGTGAAAAGAATTACAGTCAACCCTGTAAATACGGACCTTGCTGGGGCCATAGAAAGCGTCCATATTAACGGGATGTCGGTATTAAGCGGGTTGAATTTACAGAAAGTGTAAGGGCTTTCTTTTCCCAGGGACAAGGAAAACACTGCATGTCTGCAATAACGAGGTGTCCGTATTAAGCGGGGTTTGTCTGGCGTTACCTTATCTTCTGATCCCTTTGCTTTGCAGTTGGTTGAGAAACCCAGTCCGCATTTAAACACTTTTGTCCTGCCGTAGTAGGCAAGTGTTATCTTAATTTTTCTTCCCCCGTAACATTCGATCTTGTCTTTCTCATCTTGGCAGATGAATTTTTCGAAGATGTAGGAATCTACAAACAAAGAACAGCGTTCAATTTCAAGACCACGCCATTTGATGATCGATTGACTCATGCGTTGTTCTATGTCATAGTACTTAACTAACCTGCAGGGCAGTTGTAGTGTAAATTGATTTGCTGAATATCGATATCACTGAGGGAGTCCCAGTGTCCTATAGTCACCTGAAGAAAGCAAGAGTATAAGAGTATGTTAAAAATCTATTACTCTTTTGAAGCAGAAATATTTCTGGTTTCCAAATCTCCTGTTCAGGAGACGTCTGCAATCCCGTTCATAAATAGTTGAAACATCTAAATTCACGAAAAAATAAAATAAGATAAGTTGCTCGGGCATAAACGTCGTAAATCAACGTTGAATGGGAAGGCCGGGAAAGAAGAAATTCGCAAGGGTTTCAACAGCAATAACCGCAATGTAGTATTTTTAAACAGGCAAATGGTTTTTCTTGCTTCTTACCCCTGATTTTTTCGGTACCAAGGTCTTGTCATTTTTAGAGGCAAATCCATCTCCATAATGCATAATGCTGCTGAAGTCGTAAGGAGTTGCGTAGGAACTTGGGTCGCTGTTGTTCTGTCTTTGGAAATCCCGACCTCGGCCTAAAATGCAGTGAACGTGAGCCTATCAGATTTTGCATTTATTTTAAACGTTCACTTGACGTGTATGTTTAATGGGCAGCAATAGTATAATTAAATAGAAATCATTTTAATTTGCTTATTGAATTAACCTGGTTTACCTGGTGAAAAAAAAAAAACAGGTTAACGCAACCCCTTCCTTCAGAATTTGAGTTCTCGTTTGTTGTTTCAATTAAGTGTTATGTCTTAACACAATTATACATGGTGTAAATTCAAAAGGAGGTCCTTAATAAAAACAGAGAAAGTCTTATTTGGCCAAAAACAGTATCGTAGCGATCAACTAATTCTGCTCAGGTTTTTGATATTCCTCATGGTTAATTCATTCATGAATTGAGGTTTCTTAATTGTAAAGCCCTGTTTACTTTCTTTGTCATTTTTCCTATGAAAGTAGTATAGAAGCACGTTTTAGGTCCTTTTTCGCACGTGACGTTTACGGCAAACAGCAAACGTGAATTTGTGCCACCTGATCAAGTTTTCCCTTAACAGGTGCTTTACTATTGATTACGTCCACACGAAGATTACTAGTGGTTTCATATCAGTTCGGTCTATAACATTTGTTTCGCACTGTTTTCAGCTGCACGTTTTCTACTTTGAGAAATTCGCAACTTGACTCTGGCGTTTGAAGTTTGCCATAGACACGACTCTTAGGCCACGTCCGCAGGAATCTCAATACGCGCGCTGAAACCGTAAACCGTATACTTGATATTCGCGCATGCGTCAACACAAATCCAGTTTGGAATCACTCGTCCAGACGAATACGCTACTTCGATCTACATTTGGTAATTACTTGCTAGTAGGCGTGCGCAAACCGAGCCTGCGATGTGATTTCGCGATATTTTAAATTTTTCTTGTAGCTATTTTTTTAGCAAAATGGCCAGGCTTCCCTGTGCGTTGTCCCACCAGGCACTTGTTCACGCTGGACAAACCCAATATCTTCTTTGAAGGTTTAGAAGAAGACGTTTTACACGCCTTCGTCTCGTACTATAAGATTCCACAAACTGGATAGTATTAACCTTATCTCCATTGATTGGAAGAAAGAGACCACTTAGTGTTTCTTTGTTTGATACTTCTAAGCTATTTGGAATCGAAAAGACTACACGAGCATAAATTTTCCCTTATAGCTGACCTTTTTTGATGTTTTCCCATTTGACTGTCACGTACCGGTCACGGTCAGGACGAGTGTGTTCATGCAAATATCCAATAACATGACCTAAAAATGAAAAAGGTACTCATTTAGTATTGATCTTTCTTTTCCTTAATCAGCGTAATTCGTCGTCACAGGCGTCGAGAAGCTTTTAAACTTATTGAAATAGCGCTAACCAAGTTCATGAAGAATCATTCCATGCCACCAGCATCTTGGAGCAAGAAGCACAGAGTATGGTCTACCAGTGTAACCAACGTTTGTTGAGGCACAACTGAAAAGACAAATCACACATAAGCAAACACTTGATACAACGGAACCCGTTAACACGACCACCTTTTGGCCATATTAATATAGTATAATGAACTGGGTAGCGTCACACGGTGTCGTACAACATTTCCTAAACAATGTAATTACAGATAAGCATAATATAAAAGAATCATCAGAGCTCCAAATTTCGCACTTGCAAGGAGTTTCCAACCATCTTGCCCGATCAAACTGTGTCGTTAATGGGATTTATTTTGTGGTGGAAAAGTAAAGGCCTATCTTGCTCGCTCGGGTAGCCAACCAAAACACAGAACTCGCCTCATCATGGATTTCAGCTGCAGGAGGTATTTTTCGAGGAGAAGTCCGAACATATCTACATTTTTCACAATCTCTGAGCAGCGTAGTACATAAAGGGATCACAAAGATCAGACCATTGTATCAAAAGGTCTTTCAGAAGAGGTAACAAACAATGCAAACTTTTAAAGCAATCATTCAAAAAAGTTGAAGCGAACTCTAACGGGAGTTGGTACGTTTAAGAGAGTTTCCAACTATAAGGCTTTGACCGGGAAAATATTTGGTGTTTTGGATAAGTAGTCGCTTACAAGAGGTTGTCCTGAATGTGTATTACTATATTTATATATCAAAATGGAACTATAATCCGTATTTGGCTTTTCTGAAAGGACTTGGGAAAAATTTATAGCTTAAGAAATTGATGAAACCAAAATCTCCGCCAAGCCCCACACTGCCGCCAATCGGTACAGCATCGATAACCAAGTATTTCCTTGACTTGTAAGATATATGTACATTCAAGAAAAAACCCATAAGTACTTCATCATCTCTTGATACTTACCGATCCCTCTTATCTTGGATAAATGTAATGTAGACCCTTTGGTTGGACCGAGGTACAAATTTCACGCACGATTTTTTCTCCCATTCTTTCATGGCTCCTTCAATTGCGTCACCAGCCTTCGAACTCTTCCCTTCAAAATGCAAAGGCTTGATAAAATCAAGTTAACTCTACCTTTTTCTGTGGTCATGTCGACCCTGTAGCTCTTCGACAATAAAGATCAGTAAGTAACATTTCATCATGCATTCAAACCCCTTTTAAAGAACTATTCTCTCACAAAAAGATCTCAACCCCGCAACAGTCCGCTTATAAGGCTGGGACTCCTTTCTAGCGATTCTAAGATCCTGTTTACATGGGTCCGTACAAATTTTTAAACGGACCAAAACTTGCACAGATCTGTCTTTTGTTCAAACGGGATCCGCGGACCCGTGCAAGTTTTTGAATGGCAACCAGTGGCGGAACCAGACTTTCAGACAAGGGGGGGGGGGGGGGGGGGAAGAGAGACGGTCATCCAGACTCTAATATAAGCAGGGGGAGGCGTTGTTCAAAAATTAGGTGGGGGGCGGCCCCCCGGGCCCCTTCCCTGAATCCGCCACTGGCAACAACACTGCAATTTGTGACAGAAGTGCACGGTTCCTTGTAAATGGTTCGCACAGGTAAAACATTTGCCCATTCAAAAATTTGTCCGGACCGGTGTAAACGGATCTAAGGAAAGCACTTATAGCCGACCCCGGCAGTTTTCCTCTCAAAAAAAGCCGAGTGCAAAATTAAACGAATTTTAAAGCACAATTAGACAAGGATGGCCAGTAATTATCTCTCCTAGATTTTCCCTTTTAAAACTCTAGTACAACTGTACTTACCTAGATCACTGTCCAGCTGGAAAGGGATCATGGGGCCATCAGGCCCATCAGGCCACCTGCGACCGAGTGTGAAACCTCGTTTATGTCCTTGGGTCCTAGTTTTAAGCACCTTGTATTCATGGGCCGTCAGTAGTAAGTCCCCTTCGTATAGGTGTCTCTTTATGCCTGTAAGGTGTTTCCAAGATTGTCACCATGATCAATCTCGTGCGAAATTGGGGGTGAAGTTTTGACAATATCAATATTGTCTGGTTTTACTTGGTTTTGTCACTGTAGTGTTACATTTTTCTATTTTGGATGTATACAAATGGGATTTTGGATTTATCTGTTATGATAAAAGGTATAGCCCCGGGGCCCTCTTAAAAATAATGACCGACCGTATAGCAAGAGGTTAGCATTTTTAGTGAGGGCATCACCCGATTTAATGCACCTGTCCATTGTTTAACAACCAGCAGACCATTATTGTGTTTCACAAGAATCTCCTGTTCGGCTTCAGTGACCTCAGTTTTATTCAATTTAAGAATTCTAAAAAAAACGATCTTTGAAAAAACGAATTTATTCTACACAGAGCTGCGTGACTTCATTTGTGACAAAGCCGTGAGAGGAATGGGAAAGAGAAACGAAAAGGTTTCAGTTTTCCTTCTTTTTCCTGGCTGCTTTGCCGCAAATAAATTTTCATTCCGCCATTGGTCAACGAAACCTCCGGCTAAATGACGCGGGGTATTTGGAACACCCCTGTATATGGTATAACTGTGGTCTAAGCGATAGCTAGAAAATGTGATCTGAACCCTAAAAATCATTTTGACGAATTGAATTGAAAGCACGGACAGCAAATCTACGGTAGGATTAAGTAAGATTCAGAAACAATTTCTTCTATTTTGTTACTTTAAGTTTTTTAATAAAATTTTTTAAAAGGCGAATTGCAATGTAATTCATATTTAAAACTCACGGACGTTTTGGTTTGACGATGGTCCTCAGCCGGATAACCAATATGAGGAAATGCTAATGAGAGACGAATATTTAACCTTACAGAAATGCAGTTCTCTCTCTTAAAAGTAAGGAAGAACCTTAAAATGTGGGTGCACTCAATTTGTACTTCGTCCTTAATTCATTGAGGCTTGAAGAGCTAGCCTGGAGGTTCATGATTTGGAAAGCTCCCAGCTGCAGCGAGAAAGTGTAGTGTGTAGTTTGAAACGAAATATCGAATAGTTTAGCCACAGTTTATTTTTTGATTCAATCATATTCTCTTGATTTATTACAAAGAAATACTAGTGAAGTGACATTGCCTCTTTCACAATAAAACTATTTAGCCTGAACGATAAAAATGGATTAAAAAATTTCAATGTAACTAATAATATCGTCTTTAATCTCATCAGTAAGCAGTACGCTAAACTTAATGTCAGG